CATTGGGTCAAAGTTCAAAGACTATATCTGTCATTTACCATTTGATAAACGCATAGATCCCTTTGGTGTAAAATTTTTCAGTTGAAGTAACATCTGAAAAGGGAGAGAATGGTCCAAAAAGTCCTCAACCTATTGTGCAACTGCTAATTCAGTTCTAAACTTTTCAATTAGAAAAATAACACAATGGTCTCTGAATGTTGGTCCAATATGCCAATTTGCACACGGACTATTAATTCGTTCAATCCGGTCCTTGAACTATTAATAAATGTTCAAGCTAGTTCATAAACTATATGAAAATTTTGGGAAAAGTGCCAAACAAGTCCTAAACCTTTTGGGAAAAGTGCCAATTTAGTCCTAAACCTTTTTTTGGTGCTAATTCAGTCCTAAACCTTTTGCATTGGTGCCAATTTAGTCCTAAACCTTTTTTTGGTGCCAATTAAGTCCTAAACCTTTTAAATTGGTGCCAATTCAGTCCTAAACCTTTTTTTTGTGCCAATTTAGTCATTTCGGTAAATTTTGACCGAAATTTGCCGACGTGGACGCCTGCCGGCTGGCGGCCGGTCACCGGCAAAAAAAAGGTTTAGAACTGAATTGGCACCAATTTAAAAGGTTTAGGACTAAATTGGCACCAATGCAAAAGGTTTAGGACTGAATTGGCACAAAAAAAGGTTTATGACTAAATTGGCACTAATGCAAAAGGTTTGGGACTTTTTTGGCACTTTTCCCTGAAAATTTTCAATGTCGTCTTTTTGTTATTCAAGTCAAGGAAATCTGCTGATATGGCTTCCAATCCGTTATGTTTGAACAGTGGACAAAAAAAAAGTTACACGTGCATTATCCACGTAAGATATTCATATCAAATTCGGATGCAATAATGTACACCATCAAATTACGATAGACATGTTAACGCCATAATTTTTTACCTTGTTTAATGTAAATGGATAGCAATATAGATATGTTGATGAGAAATCCAACTCACCATATGATAATCCACATCATCAAGTAACATTTTATCATTTGAGAAAACGAAAAGAACTATATTGAATATTTAACAGTAGTTCATGGACCACATTAAATAAATTAAAAGTTTAAAGACCATATTACACATTAGGCCAAAGTTCAGAGACCATTTGTGTCATTGTTTTATTTCCAATTTGGCGAATGCAATCCTAAACATTTCGAAGAGTTTTCAATGTAGTCCATTTGGCCATTTAGGTAGGAAATCACTTCCAATTTAGCACGGTCATCTTAGGTGACATAGCTGGCTACTGATGTGGATGATGTTTATCTCGTTTTGTAATTTAAAAAAATTTCGAATTTTTTTCTTTTATTTTTCCTTTTCTTATCCTTCTTTTCTTTCATTTTTCGTTTATTTTCCTATTCTATCATTTACCTTCTTCCTCCGCCAGTCGCCAGGGCCTTGGTGATGGCCAGCGAAGGTGCCGAACATAGGCAAGGACCTGGATGCCCTCGCTTGGTATGGGCGAGGACCGGACTCTAGGTACAAAGAGGAGATGGCGGAGGACGGCTCATAGACGGCCAAGCTAGTGAGGTCGATGGTCTATCAGCTCGATTTTGGTCATTCTCTGGTAATTCAAATAAGTGGTGTTTGCCAATAGGCATGCGGTCCTGCTGGAAAAGAGATTGGGGGTGGGAACGTTAGTAATATAGGTGCGGGGTTCGACTCCTGCGTTCTGCAAGAGGCAGAACAAAAGTCAGAGAGAAAGATAAAAGTTAAAGATATGACCAAAAAAAAAAGTGGCGTGTGACGAAAAACGAGAATGTGGGGTACGAGTAGGAGATAGCGAACGACAACTCACAGTTGGCCAAGCCAGTGAGGTCAATTGTTCCTCAATTCGATTTGGTCATTCTCTAGTAATTCAAACAAATTTGAAGTTTGAGGAAAAACGGCATCATTATGGACATTGGTTCACACTTGAGTTAACCTTAACATCCACTTAGGAGAAAGAAAATAACAAAAAAAAGCCGCGTCAGTTCTGTTAGCCAATTTGGAAGAAGCTAACAAAGGGAGACTTGATTGCATCAATTCAACAAGTTTTAAGACTTAATTGAATATTTTGAAATTATAGTACTCAATTGCATAGCGCGACAAGTATCCCTAAACATAATGATAATTTACTATGGTTAGGAGACAGAATCTTTTCTCTTCTAAATCCGAATTCCAAATCAAAGTCAAATATTATACATAAATCCATCATTTTTTCCATTTATGACAATCGAAGTTCTTACTTGCAATTGCCTGGGCTCGGAACGTGGTGTAGGGATGACCCTAGAAACTGCAAAGTGACCATAGTTCAGCAAAATTTTTGGAGTTGCCTAGATAAAGCTCATGTGGTGTCTTACCTATTAAAACATGGATTTGGAAGACAATTTTTATATTGGCATACTATTAGGACATCAGCGGTTCTTAAGAGTTTGAAAATCATTGGCGAAACTATTACGAGGAAGCCAACTCCTCCCTACATAATGTGGGCAAGCTTGTAGGTCCAAGCCTATCGTCATCTCTCCTCTCTTCTTACATGGTTCATCAGCTTTGGCTGTATTTTGTCGTCGTTTGAAGGTTGAATTGTATATGTGCAGACCAAGATCCGCTCAATGACAACTCCCCGAGGTGCCCTTTCATGAATCATGACCATTCTTTCGACTATAATCTGCGAGTCACCTTACACGCCTGTGACATCGAAATCAAAATCTTACAAGCGTATCGGATACTAAACGGGTCAAATCAACTTATGCTTATGCTTTACAAGCACAGAACATGCTGTTAAACCACTCGAGCTTAAGTGACCATTATCCGTTAAGCCGAGTTCTCTGCTTTGACTGCATCAGTCAGCCAAACAGGTACTTGACTCAAGAGACTGAAGGGAAATTGAGACATGGATCTTTGATCGAATTATGAACTTTGGCTTGAGATGATGTTTGGTTTTGTCAATCGGCTTCTACATCAAAAGAAAATGACAAGAAGTTGGCGGTTGATGCTTCAAGTGGTTCCATATGATATGAATTGTGGCGCCCATATATTCACATAACCGGTACACGAATGGATCAAACCGTTCATCAAAAGAGCGACATCAGTTTACTATATTGCGAATTGATTGCTTAACTCAGTCAACTTATGTCGGGAGTGATCCATGCTTTACATGTGCTATCCACGACTAATGTTTTTCCTTGACTTTGCCGATTGCCCTTCATGCAAAACAATCTTGAAGAGCCATCTGCGGATGAATTAGATGAGCAGGTGTCGGAGTCTGGTCTAATTTCAATTACTGCACTTAGTTTTCCTGCTACAATGATGGTTCACAAATTTCTCCATCCTTGATGGGTATACCATATGGGATTGTTGCTCTTTATTGTAGCTTTTCTTCTCAAAGTAGGGATTCATTCTGAAGCAATCTTCAAGTTGGTTTGAGATGGTAATCAAGTTGGGTCTCATACTATGGTCCACTTGGGAGCTGGTGTTCTGGTTCTAGGCTAGCGAAAAGCAATTTCATCCTCGCAACAGAGATGGCTGTGCTATCTGCTATGTTGCGTACAGATGCCAATTCCTCTGTGCAAGTTTTTGATCTGTGCAACAGCTGCGAGGGTCAAGATTTGGTTGATCTGAGAGAACCAGAAGTGAAGCTATAATACTATGTCGCTTATTCGCTCGCCAAGATTGGGAAAAAGCCCCAACATGAATGCCACATCAATTTGTTCTTTGGTCACGAGTTTCTTCGACAACAATTTCAATTCGGTAGCACGAAAGACGAACGAATCTGAGGATGAATCACGGGGCTGTAAAAGGTAGGTTCGCACACAATCTTGGTGCGAGAGGCTTGACCGTTTTGTTCTACAAATCCCATATCATTCTTTTACCACCTCATGGTTAAGAATGCAATAAGAGGTAAAACTCTGAAAGCGGGCTGGACTCTGAAAGTTGTGAATGTTACGTGCTTTTATGAATGTAAGTTCGATCGAGTTTGGTGGATCAATGCATATTGAGAAGCTCATATTGCTAGTTTTGTAGGCACAATGGAAGCATAGGAGTTGTAGACACGGTAGAAAGTGCAAGCGAGGGGTGTTGAATTTACCATTGAGCTGTATGCAGCACTATTTACCTTGCCACATTTGGATATGAACATATCACTAGTTTAACCTTCTTTCGCAAACTAAGAGATGAATTTTCACTGGCTAGGCATAAGTATGTGATTTGTAGGAAAAAAAAAAAAATTCTAGATGGCAAGTTAGATACCTAATGCAATGCAATGCATGTCGCAAAAGTCGGGAAGCATGTTCAAGTTGAGCGTCATTCGAGCGAGCAGTTTCCCGGGCAAATCCCCACGGATTCGCCCGATTCTCGATGCAATAGATCCCCCTGTTTATCTTCTTCCGCCCGACCCCTCGAAACCCCGGATCCTCCCAGGGCATTCCCCGCGGACCGCCCGAGACCGCGGCGAGATCGCGACAAACCCTAACGCCGACCATCGTGCATTCGGGACGGCATATCTCCCTCCCGCCTCGCCCGAACCGCGCGCGAAAACACTCGTTAGGGAGCTCACATAATGCCCTACAAGATGCAAAAAACCGCATCGAAATCCATTGAGCCCAGCTCGAGCAATGGCCGGATGAATCGAGCTGAAAAGCACACCCTCCCCAACCAAAAGTTGCAAACCCGGCTCTCCCATCGCCCCCCCAACCCCCCACAACCCATTTTTTTCCCTTCATGGGATCCCTTTCCCCCACACATGCAGCCTCCGCGCCGTGACCACAGCCGTCGAGATGATCCCATCGGAGGGCCTACATTCAAACTCCAGGATGGCCCCGATCCGTGTGAGGGTCCTGTCGTCCAATCAGGGCGCGCCGTTTGGATTTATTCTCTCGCGTCCGGGACTATTTAAATTCTCCCATTTCCCGTCTTCGTCTCTCAACGAAATTACCCGCAGAGACGCGAGCGTACACACACACACTCCTCCCTCCTCCTCCTCCTCCTCCTCCTCCTCCGATCGCAGATCCGATTCCTCTCTCTTCTTCTTCTCCTCCTCTGCAAATCTCGGAGCTCCTCGTCGTCGTCGCCGTCCTCCGTTTCGGCCGGCGGAACCCTAAATCCTTCCAAAATTCGGATAAAATCTCTAGGCTCGCTGATGGCGACCGAGGAGCCGTTGCCGGCGGTGGAGCCAGCCCCCGAGCCGGCCAGCCCGGAGGCCGCCGGCGAGAACCCGGCCCCCAAGGCCGGGAAGTCGAAGAAGGCCAAGGAGCCCAAGGCCAAGAAGCCTCCCGCCCCGAAGAAGCCCCGCAGTCCTCCCTCCCACCCCCCCTACGAAGAGGTAACGCTCGCCGGTTTCCCCCGTTCCGCCAAATTCCATCGGGAGCTTTCCGCCGCGTGTGGTTTCTCGAGCTTTGCGGGATGATCTCTGACGTCGTTTTCATTTTCCGTTTTGCGGTTTTTTTTTCCGGGTGTCGTCTTGTGTGCAGATGATCAAGGACGCGATCGTGACGTTGAAGGAGAAGTCCGGCTCGAGCCAGTACGCCATCTCCAAGTTCAACGAGGAGAAGCACAAGCAGCTCCCGCCCAACTTCAGGAAGCTGCTGCTCTTCCATTTGAAGAAGCTCGTCAGCTCCGGCAAGATCACGAAGGTCAAGGGCTCGTTCAAGCTCCCTCCCGGGAAATCGTCGTCGGCTCCGTCGGCGGCGCCGGCGGCGGCTCCCAAGCCGGCCGCCGCGGCTAAGAAGCCGTCGAAGCCGAAGGCTGCTGCGAAGCCGAAACCCAAGGCGAAGGCCGCCGCTAAGCCCAAGGAGACGACGAAGTCGGCCAAGCCTGCTGCGAAGGCCACGGCCAAGCCGAAGGCGGCTGCCAAGCCGAAGCCTAAGGCCCCCGCGGCGGCTAAGCCCAAGGCTTCCGCCGCGGCTGCCAAGCCGAAGGCGGCGGCGGCGGCCAAGGCCAAACCCAAGGCCGCGGCTGCCAAGCCGAAGCCGGCTGCCCCGAAGGCTAAGGCCGCGGCGAAGCCGCCGAAACCCAAGGAGAAGCCGGCGAAAGCTTCGAGGACCTCGACGAGGACCTCTCCGGGGAAGAAGGCGGCGCCTCCCAAGAAGGCCCCCGCGGCGAAGAAGACGTCGGCGAAGACCGTTAAGCCGAAGAGCGTCAAGTCGCCCACGAGGAAGCCTTCGGCGCGGAAGGCGAAGAAGTGATGATGGGAACGCCATAGAGAGAGGGAGAGAGAGAGAGAGAGGCAGAGAGTGAGATAGGAATGCTTTGTCTAGGGGTTAGTTCCGGTAAATTTCGATAGGAACTCGTTGGTATTGTATTGTGACGACTCTTGGGAAATACATAGTGCATCGGAAATTTTTCTTTCGTTTTCTTTCTCTCCCTTCTCTTCTTCTTCTTCTTTTCAGGTTTTCTTTGCGTTGGTTCTCTGTAAGTTTTCTTATGGGTTTTCTTGGGGAGTAGCGTTTTCTTAGATTTGTACTTCCAAGTTGGTTGAATAGATCACGAGGTGGATGATATTCCGTCGAATCATGGCTTGAATCCTTCCTTTCTCTCTGCACTAATTCTAACGTTTTCTTCACCATGATCTCTCTCTCTCAGAGTAATTACTGCGATCATCGCGCGAGATCCAAATCCGATTGGAGCTCGATTAGGGTCTGCAAATGGGTCGGTGTGCGAATCGCTCGCTCGAGAATGGCGTCCTCGCAATTGGCCTCCTATGTAAGTTCGTTCTGTTGAATGATTTCGGCTTCTGCATTGATCTTGGGATTGCTCGAGAAGGCCATCCTCTATGAACTTTTTGTTATGATCTTCGGGTGGAACGATCTTGTATGTGGATTACATTTCTACGGTGAGTAGTGAGTCACCCAGAGAGAAAGGTCTACTTGGTCTCTTTTTTTTTTTTTTTTTTTTTTTTTTTTGTTTTTTTTTTAATTTTTTTTAAAAAAAATATAAAATTTAAATTTTCCCCTTTTTTTTTTTTTTTATTAAAAAAATTTTTTTTTTTTTTATTTTTTTTTTTTTTTTTTTTTTATTAAATAATTTAAAAAAACCCCCTTTAATTTTATGTTGTCTTCCCTCCTCATGTTGAGATTATGGTTCGACGCAAATGAAGCCAAAGAGGATTTCAGATCTTTAAAATAGGTTTCGATATGTTGCACTAATTGTAATGGCTCTCTACTGTATGATGAACTGGTGTCAAGTCTTTGTAGTCTTTCAGCTCAATTAGTATTTTGGATTGTGATGGCCCTCAACATATCTAAATGGAAATGGGCAAATTGCAAATCTAGTTTCTTTCTAACTAACTCCGGGGAAGAGAAATTTTGATGCTGGAACTCTAGTTTCTTCTCACGACCGCTCTTAGGAGAAAGATAACTTCTGGATATCATGAATGTTGGCCATGCTTCCAAAAAAGGTCGACTAGGCAAAAGCTTGATATTACGGAGATTCCCTGGTAGGCTTCCTTGTTTTGATTTAATCCATGGAAGGAACAAACTGTCGGGGCATTGTCTGGCGAAGATTAACGGGTGAGTTTTGCCGGGAGAGCTTCGGGTGGAACCGGAAGAAACAAGGTTTCCCTGTCCCTAAGAACATACGATAACGGCAAGAAAACTAGTAATGAAGCGTTCAGGTGGCGTCTAAAGTTAATTTGGCGAGCGAACCTTGGCTGAGAGTTCTTGTTTAGGCCCTGTTTGGTACGTAAACAAAATATATATGTTTCTGCTTTCATTTGTCAAAATCTCACTGTAAACTTGTTTGGCAAGCATTCTCCTAAAATGTTCTCAATCACTTTGACGAAGCAGACAAAGCATTGAATCAAAGACAATCACGGTGGGATACACTATGCTCTCCCATCATGCCTCATCTGAAGCTTCGACATGGATGCTTCTCTTTATGTGTGAAAAACCGGCTTGCATTAAGGATGTTTTCCCGTTTCTGTACCCAGCCGACATTCAGGCAGAGCTTGAAGAAGCTGATTCCCAAACCAGTTTGGGATTGTGCAGTTTCCCAGTCTTCACCCACCATCAATTTGATTTTGGGCAAAAGACAAGCTTGAAGAAACCCCGAGGCTTCTAAGAGCTTGGTGAAGCTGCAAAACTCTGGCCAACTTTGAACTTTTCTTTTCATTCCATTCAGATCCTTTCACAAGCTTCACAAATTTTACGAGCACTAAAAGAAAAAAAAAAAGGCTTCACGGTTTCGAACGTAGTTAAAAAACAAATGAGAATGCCCTTTATGTTCAGTTCATATTTATCAATCTATTCCCATACAATTTTATGTCATTTTGCAGTAAGCAAACATGGCTTCAAAAAATTTGCATTCCAGTCGAAAAGTTTAATGTACACGAACCAAATGCATTTTCGAGAAAACAGAAAACTATTGAAAAATCTTTGCGAATCAAACACCCCTCAGGATACTGTATTTTTCTTTCCTTGAATTTCTGCAGAATGTCTGATATGTTTTTACCTCTTCCATGATAACAAACGCTTCCATTCCTGTCTTTCGTGAAATGGAGATTTTATGACAAAGTTCCTTTCGAATTTTGATGATGATTGTTGCAGGTCGAGCACAACATTATCTCAGTGATGGAATAAACGTGTTTCGCTCTTGCTGAGTAGTGGCTGAAATGTTGAGAGATGTGATATTGTTTGGGTTCGTCGCTCCATAAGCATGTAATCTATGTGAATTTTATGCTTTGGCTATTGAGGTTTTGTATTCCTGCTATCTTGAGAGCATGCAAACTTTTACTGATTGTTGAAAATTGTACCAATCCCACATGAACAGATTTTTCTAAACAAATTACCACAAAATAGGATGTATCGGCTCTCTTTAGCACTCTTAGTTATGATGGCCAAGTGTTTCTTGTATGCATTTATAGTTGCAATAAAATTCAGATGCTTAAATTTACATACAAGCTCCATCTACCCCACAAAGTTCCTGTGCTTCTGATCAGAATAACAAAAGTCTGATCGATGTGTGAAGCTGAATTGTAAATTCTAGTATGAAGCTGCAGTTCCTGCGTTGTGAATCAGTCACTTCGATCTCTCAACTTTCTGGATTGAATACTTCAGCTCCTGCTGTATGTTTATCCTTGAAGGTGATAGTACGATGTCTTTCCAAACTGAACCGGCCTCACAAGCTGGGTTTGGTCGTCTGTAGAGCTCGTTTATGGAGTCTGCCTCTTCGTTCAATCTGCTCACCGTTTCCAAACAGCTTATTTCCTCTGGATCAACCAACAATGTCTTGTCTCTGTCTTTCCATCCTATTAACTTGACAAAAAGAGAAAACACACAAGCTCACATGAATCCAAGAGTTTGTATAGGTAAGAGAAAAACATGTGGAGCTTTTGTTTGTTTGGCCATAAACTTAATGTTGAGATGAAGTTGTTACACTACAAGAAGGTTAAGCTATTTCATAGGAACAGGTCACTTAGGCTATAGGTATCCACACCTTCGGTTAGCCTTTGCTTGGTTTGTTTCAATAAATATTCGAGTCTACATCGTATTCCTATTGAGCTACTGTCTAATTGCCTACATGATCTCACGACGATTTTTCACTTTCATAACCATTATCGCTTGATTTTAGAGAGGCCACACAGAGAGAAATTGATAGAGAAGGATGTATAAAAGTACCTTTGGAGGGCCTTCTAGAGCATTAGTGCAGTATAGCCTAGCATTGTCGACTAGTTGACAGTAAGTCAAAAATGCAGTCGCAAATCTTTTGTGCGATCTTAACTGAGATTTCACCCTCACCGCTCTTCTGCACATGATTGCTCTCCTGGAAACACCCGAAATCCATATCTTAGTATTGTGAATATCGTGAACCTACTCCCATCAAAGAAGAAACCTAAGATTAACCATAAAGCTATACTGTATTCTGCAATACCTTATTCCTCTGATAACTGCCAAATAAGCATCACAAACAACTCCAACTAGCTCTATCCTGTATGGTTTTCTCTTCTTTCCCCCAATTTGTTCCTGTTCTTCTTCCTCGATCCGTTCCCAGTAGTTTTCGGTCACTGACCCATCTTCTCCTTTCCGATAGCCGACACCCATGCGATAACGATGGCGGTGGACATTTCTGGCCATTGTTATTGTCTGCACAACAAATGGCACCCAGGAAAGCGTGCCATCCATGATCACATCTCGTCCTTCATTTAGTGCTGTGACGAGTAATGATGATGCAGCATCTGTAGATGATTGGTGCACCTGTTTGAAAAATCATCAAATCCTTATCTTTGATTAGATACTTAACAGTATTGTTCTCTCAAATATCGAAATGCAACTCAAGAACTACCAAACAAACCAAGAACCTCTACTGACTAGTTCTTTTCAGGAAAGCAGGAAAAAGCATTCAAACTAATATGAAATTAACGAAAGTCAGCTGAAATTTGTATAGACATAAAAGACCTGTCAATGGAATATTAAAAATTATCAATGTGGTTCTTCTGGACAGACACTGGAGGAACTAAGAACATGGAAGTGAGAGAGGTTTTCAACTTTCTTTTTAAGTGTCTAATATTTATTCCAAAGGGAGATTGGACAAGTAAATTTTGTAGGTCTGTATTTAGTTCTGTGACTATCCTTCTTCAGCTTTTTCACAAGAAGGGTGTCGAGTCCCCAATTCTCATGTCACATGTCTATGCATGCACGCATATGAGAGAGAGAGGGAGAGAGAGAGAGAGAGAGAGAGAGAGAGAGAGAGAGAGAGAGAGAGAGAGAGAGAGAGAGAGAGAGAGAGAGAGAGATGTATTTCATGTCTCACTAGTTCAGCAGTTTGCAGCATGTCAACGTGACCTCTGGAGCTAAGAGCTCTGTAAATGACATCAGACTCTTTGAAGGCATCTGCCTCAATGATTACTGCATTCCCTGCCGCTCCTGCCCAGAATGGCCTGTGCATAAGTCACCCGGAGTGGTCACTGTAAGTGGTCATACTATATACAAATTTGCATGTTTAGTTTTCTCCGAAGCTAGTCAAGAGATGCATTCTTGATCTGAGATGGGGTAAAAAGATGAGTGCTTGTGAACAACTGATCTCAACATTTTGTGAGATGAATAAATTTGTCAGATAATACTTTTGTGGTCATATAACTGCAAGGAAGTCTAAAATCTTTATTTTCCAAGTAATTTATTGGAAAAACTTAGCAGCATTAGTATATCTAGGATACTTGTATCCCACTTTAATCTGCTCTGTATTGTATTTTGGGGGGGAAAAGAAACAAGTAGAAACAAGCAAAAATTACTATGTTTTATGGTTTCAAAAATGAGACCTAGACATTGATGGAGAAAATATTGAAACATAGTACTTATCAGTACTTAAAACCGGAAAGGATATTCATAAGCTTATTGCTTGTGAAATTACCTCGCATAACAGGAAACTAAATAATTGCTTTTCTTCAGAATCTGATTTATCTAATCAAAAGGCAATAAAACGAACTTTTTATCTGGAAGTAATTGATAAGAGAAGAACATAATCTAATGCAGAGATGTCCTAGAAGAACTTATAGTGGACTTTACTCTTGCAGAATATCCTTCAGAACAGTGCTCTTTCCTGCTCCCATCCCACCACCCATGAAGAGGAGGACCGGACTCCGATCACAGTGAGCCACCGGAGCCATTACATCGGTGCACTCTGAGTCATCATTTGATGCCCTGATTGCCTTCATTTCCTCCACTAATGTTGTGAAAACTCTAGCCACTTTTAGGTTTTTCGTCAAGGTCTCGAATCTTTGTTGTCTGCATTTCATATGATATGAAGGAAACATTAAATGGAATCACCTTTACAGGAAGAAAGCCATTTTTGATAAATTCCTCTCTTTTGCAGAACCTTATAAGAACACTGGCTGTGCCAAATCTTTTGCAAACGATCTTATTTCACCTTTCCTCCATCTCTTTTCTCACCCCTGAGTTGATCTTATTTGCTTCAGGTGATGCAATACGATCTTACTGTTCATGATCGTCTCCATCACGGAAAGGAACATAACGTTAAGTGCATTATCTGTTTTTTTTTTTTGCCTTTTGGAGCAGTCTCTAGGCTAAATTTGCTTATTGCCAAATGCTTTTCAAGTAAAGTGATTAACAGTTCTTTGGAGCTCTTGTATCGCAAAATGACTAGTTTTCCAAAAGCGAACTTTCTTTGGTATTCAAAATTCTCCTAGATGCTTGGTCACAAACTTTAACTGTTCTCCCATTGGGATACCTGCTCATATGCAGTAATATTTTCTTCGAGGTAACTCTCATACCATTCAATTGTTAGAGTAAGCAAATAAGTACCAGAACCAATAGTGATGTCATTACATGCCGAATTTGTCGATATGAGCACTAGAGGGCTACCTAGTTGCCTTCATGACAATGTCCTTTAACTTCCTCTTCGGCTCGGCATCTGAACTTAAGACCTGAAAGAGTGCAGTCCGAAAGAGACTCATGCCATATTTCAACATACATACACTGCTATACAAATTCATAACGGAAATTAACATCGTTCATCTATTTAACTACATGTGATTGTGGCGCACGGCGCATTGCCCTTTCAACGACATACCTGACTGATCATAATCTCAGCGTGGCTCCAGTGGAATGCAAAGTAGCTGAGGATGCACCTCTCGAACTCTTCCACAAGCTTCACAAAGAGCGAATCTGCATCCGGTTCGTCCGAGAAGAAAGTGTAGATGTCATCCTCGAAACCTTCACACTTCGTGATATATTCAGCAGCTAATTTGCATAACTGTGGGCATTCTCTTCTGTCGCTGAATCCCATTTGCCTCGCTGCAGGCATATTGAAGAGCGTTTTAGTTTCGATAGAAGGTATATGAGATGGAGACGATTGATCACAAGGTAATCGATATCAATCCATCGCATGTTGACTTTGCATCTTTCAAATCAAGCAGGATTCTAGAAGATTTCAATTAGCATTGCTCGCGGAAATAACTTTTATTGCGTTTAAGTTCGTATCAATCTGTAAGGGACTGCCAGAGAATTTTGGATCATAGAATTACCTACATAATGGGAGAACTTTTCAAGCTTGACGACCCGGCCGGAGTCCGACAACCGCAGGCGCGGGGCTATCTTCCGGTCCCTCAGCCTCCGTAGCTGGTAACGCACGGCCGCGGCGATGATCAACCCTATGGAGGACGCCACGATGATCTGCGAGAAGGTGGGTCTGCCATTGTAGTCTGCGACATAGAAGAACGCGAACGATGAGAATGTGTCGAATCGAGGGATGCAGATGTTGTGAAATGCAATGAAGCTTGTGATTGATCCTTAACCTCGCTGCATGTTTTGAGTACCCAGAGACGAGGCGATTCAGAATTGGCTTGGTTCTTGTATTATGAAGGGCAGAGAGAGAAAGAGAGAGAGACAATGGACATTTGTATGTTTATATAAGCAGCAGTTTTTTCATCGTAAATTCGTAATGAGCTATTTTGGGTTCGGGGGAGACCCATCTAAAAATGGAAACTTGGGGGAGGCCATGCAGGTGACAAGGTGGCACGTTGTGAAAGAGATGTGGTGAAAATCATACGCGCATGAGTTTGACATTGCCATGTCGTGCTTGGACACAAGAAAGTGTGTTCTCGCCAAGTGCTCTTGCAAAGCATCACGTAATTCTTGATTGATCAGATGTTGGGAAGGACAAAAGCAAGATATCTTATCGTACTCTTTGGAGATGAAAAACACATATCCGAGTTATTCAGTTGAGTGGTCTTTACACATTCCTATCAATTGCCCTTGTATTTCTATCTCTACAACATGCCAATTTTCTTTGCAAATATGCTCATCTCCGTTTATTTCGCGAGAAAATGAATAATTTTTAAAATATTTTCTTAAAAATAATCGTTTGAAATAATTAGTCATTAATAAATATTTCTTTATCAACAATAATTTATGTCTAAATATTTTTATGGACGGTGAATATATTCTTCATTCATTTGTTTTTATAAGCGATATAAGTGATCATTTTTTAAGAAAATATTTTTTAAATTATTCATTTTTTGCAAAACAAAATGAGCTTAAATCTTAAATTCTCACGTCTGACTAAAAAAATTCAAAACCAATTAAAAACCAACCACCCAAACCTAAAGTAGATTCTAAATTGAGTTTGCATCTTTTCAAAGAAAGGCTAGTTGTCAGTATTTATTATTTTTTTCCTTTTCTCACTTTTTTTTTCCTTGTTTAAGCTTAAAATTAGTCTCCATGAACGAGTTATGCCCAAGCACGATTACTTTATATTCTTTGTAACTTAATAATAAAATTTACGATGCTAACTAGGAGGACAAATAAATACTTGATTGCAATCGACAGAAGGATTTAATTGAATCAACTTAATAAGTTTTATAATTTAATTGCACTTTTTGAAAAATTTATGACTAAAGGCCCATTTGACAAGTTGCCAAACAGTGAAAATTTCTGTTTTTTTGTTCCCAAAATCAGTTTAGGAACAGAAATCTGTTTGTTAAATTTTTTGTTCCCGGACACAAATTTGCAAAAAATTGTTCTCAGAATTAATTTTGGAACAGAATCAAGAAGTAAAAAAAAGTAGATTCTTGGAACAATTTTTCCATTTCTGATTATTCTTGATTTTCTTCTTCTTTTTGGGCTCCGTTCGTTTGGCGGAAAATATTCTCATTTTGGAAAATATTTTCTTCATTTTCGAAAATGTTTTCAACATAATTTTCCTGTTCCACAATATGAAAAGTTTCGTTAATATTTTCCTTCTTGGTTTGTTCTTTTCTGCCTTCCTGGCTTGCAGCCCGGCGACCAGCAAGACGGCGACCAGGCGGAGGCGGCCACGACAGCGGCAGCGCCGGCGGCAGCGGCGGCACCGGCGCAGCACGGCGGCGGCCGTAGCTGCGGCGGCGGGCTGGCCGGAGGCGGTGCGACCTTAGTGAAGAAGAAGAAGAAGAAGCTCGGAAAATGATTTCCGCTTTTGAAGAAGCGGAAGTCATTTTCCATAGACTTAGGCTATTTTGTGAAGGGGGAAGGAAAATATTTTCCACGGAAAACGTTTTCCGCCCCGAACACCTAAAACCCAAAATATTTTCCAAGAATATTTTCCGCCAAACGAACGGAGCCTTGGTTTGTTGTTCTTCTTCTTCCTTTTGGTTTGTTGTTGTTCTTCTTCTTCTTCCCGGCTTGCCGCCGGTCACAGGCCAGGGCCGGCGAGAGCGGCTCGCGGCCGCGACGGCGAGGCCGACCTCGCCGTTGCGACCCAAGCAAGGGAGATGGGTCACAACGGCGAGGTCGGCCTCGCCTTGGCTGGGCAAGGCTCGACCTCGCCCAACCAAGGTGAGGCCGACCTTGCCGTCGCGACCGGCAAGGGCCGCGATGCCCTCTCCGCCCTGGCGCCGGCGACCAGCCACAGGCCAAGAAAGAAAAGAGAAAAGAAAGAAAAAAATATTAAAATATTTAAAATATTATTATAATATTATTAATAAAAAGAAATTTTGTATAGTTACTAAATGCATTTCTGTTCTTTTTCTATTCTAAGAATATAAATTTTAAACAGTTATCAAACGCTTTCAAATGCTTATAAATTGTTCTCGGGCACGGAATCATTTCTGAATAGAATCAGTTTTCGGACACAGAATCGTTGCCATGCGCATCCTGAATTATATTTTTGTGATAATTTTTATGACTTAAATATATATTTAAAAAATTTCAAGACTCAATTATATTTTCATAACGAGTTTTTAAGACTTATAATTCACTTTTTCCGCAACTTTCGCATCCGCTTGGAAACCACGAATTGCAGTTCAATTGGGTTTAGGCTCTGGAGCAGTCTTCTCCTGACTAGAGAAACACTTCGCCTTCGCGAAGTGGTCGTCGCTCACCAGCCATGGCCGCCAAGGCTCTGCGTTCTTCTTCTTCATCCGCTGTTTCTGCTGCTTCGGAAGGTAAGCTCTCCTCTCTCTTCACATACCCACGTCGGCAATGTCCCAGAACTCGCCATCCCCCGCAAGAACCCGCCGTTCAAATCGCGCCTCCGCCACCAAAATCCAAACTTTCAGACACCCAGGAAGACCAAACTCGACTCGCCCTTTTCCTCCAGAAGAAGTGTAAATCAGGGGATTTCACCGTGGACGAAGCGCTCCGCCATTTCGACCGCATGATCTCCATGCAGCCCTCCCCTCCCACCTCGTCGTTTCGCTTGTTGTTGGGTGCACTAGCTAAGAAGAGCCATTACTCTGCTGTGATTTCGCTTGGCGCAAAGCTGGAATCTGTCGGGTTGTTGGCTGATTACGCTGTGCTCAACATTTTGTTGAATTGCTTCTGCAACGCGAGGCGGGTCGCTGAGGGTTTCGCGGTTTTGGGGGCCATTTTTCGGAGAGGTCATCGCCCGAATACTGTCAGTTACACTCAGTTGGTGAAGGGGTTGTGCTTAGAGCATAAAATTGGCGAGGCGGTTGGCTTGTTTATGAAGATGTTTCGCTCGGGTCGCAGGCCGAATATTGTTACTTATGGCACATTGATTGGTGGGTTATGTAGGAGTGGTAATACGAGTGTGGCGCTCAAGTTACATCAAGACATGGTGAGTAGCAATGGCAAGAATAGTGTCCTCTGCAAGCCTAATCTAGTTAGTTATAGCACCATCATCGATGGACTTTGCAAAGATGGGTCGTTAGAAGAGGCTCGGAAACTTTTCTTGGAGATGAAACATAGTGGTATTTCGCCAGATGTAATTGTTTACAGCTCTCTGATACACGGTTTGTGTAGCATTGGACAGTACACGGAAGCCAATGTTCTGCTTAATGAGATGGTAGATCAAAAAATCCCACCTAACACAATTACGTTTAATTCGTTGATAGAAGTTCTTTGCAAAGAGGGAAAGTTGAAAGAAGCAGAAAATGTGCTCAAAGTGATGATTGAAAGTGGTGTTGAACCTGACATGTTTACGTGTAACACGATAATGTGTGGCCTGTGTTTTGCTGGCAAGATTGATGAGGCAAGGGAACTGCTTGTTCAAGTGGTGAGTAAAGGTTGTCTAATTGATGCAGTCAGCTACAATGTGCTGATCAATGGGTATTTCAATCAGGGAAGTACTGAAGAAGCTATAAGTACATACAAGGAGATGATTGATGAAGGAGTTAAGCCAACGGTTGCCACCTTTAATACATTGATGAAGGGTTTCTTCCAGAGAGGTAGGGTTGGTGATGCACGGAATTTGTTTAGAGAAATGAAACGTCATGAAGTGGAACCTAATACAAGCACATTCACCATATTTATTGACGGACTTCGCAAAAATAATTACCTCTCAGAGGCATTAGATATTTTTCATTCTCAAGATCCCAACATAAAGCTAAGTGTACAGACCTTCAATTCCCTCATTGATGGATTGTGTAAAGCAGGGGATCTTGAAGCTGCATGGGACTTATTCCACAGGTTACAAAAGGGTGGGTTAGGACCAACTGTTGTAACATACTCTATCATGATAAAGGGACTCTGCCAACAAGGTCAATTTGACAAGGCAAATGAGTTATTTATGAAAATGGAAGCCAATGGTTGTGCTCCAAATGTCGTCACATTCAACACACTGATGCGTGGTTTTTGTCAAAATAATGAGATCGTTAAGGTGATTGAGCTGCTTAAGAAAATGGCAGAGAGAAGTATTTTACCAGATGACTTTACGACATCTGTGGTGGTTGACATGCTATCAAAGGATGAAAATTATAAGGAGTATCTCAATTTACTTCCTACATTTTCTGCTTGAAAGCTATTGGAAGAAGACACTTTTCAGTCATTGGGATGCTTTTTGCATAAGGACCGCAATGCAGCCGTCAAGATATTGATCCTGACCTTGTTCTCGTTGGTGGTTGGTAAGTGAAATTCTCTGTGGTTCTCAAGAAGCAAATTTGCATTGTGGTCTTGGTGGGTCATTTACTGGTTACAATTGGTAGAGGTTTTTTATACAGATGAATGCAAGTGAAGAAGCATATGCCACATCACTTGCATGCCATTCATAATAGATAATTATAACTATGGCCACTCGATAAGTGTTTCGTTTTTCCTTTTGCGGAAGAAAAGATAGAATCAACAGTGGTAGGATTTCTAGTTTGCGCCAGGATCTCATCTCATTTGATTGCAACAGTAGACAAATTACTTGAAATGACTCATGAGATGCGCATCTTCTCTTTTGATAGTTTTCTATGGGCTAACTTTTTGGACTTGCCCTAGACATAAAAATACATGTCAAGATTATATGACGCTTGCTTGTGAAGACTCAATCTTATCTGGATCCACTGGCAGGGGGATTTTTCTATGAAGTCAGATGCTAAGCATATTGAGACTGCTTTCTAAATGACGTGGCAAACTGGATACTTTAACAAGCTGGCTATATTCAAGTTCCAAATCAAATCTTGCTAATCACTTTGTGAATCAATTTTGCAAACTAGTCCTAGTATCTCTACCGTTATTTGAATATATTATACTAGCTTAAATACTCAGTAACAGTTTACTATATTACTTTTATAAACCAATTATGTAAAATCTCAAGCATTATTCTTGTGAATAAAGGTTGTGAATGTATCCTAAGAGTTCCCTTTAATAATTTGTTAATTTGTTAAGAATTTTATGAGCTCTATGAAGTCACATTTCACAACGCTTTGCAATCCTTAGTCTGTCTAACTTTCTTCTTTGGAAGAATTCCACAAATGACAAGCCATGAATTCTTATCAAATAATGGACAAATCACACTGATTACAGGTCCTGCTCTATACAACTTAGACCTCAAGCTCAAAGTAAAGTTCTAACTCAACCAGATGAGTCAATAGCAAGAATGAGAGACGACATGTTTTATGGCAGATAGAATGGAGCATTGAAGTATTTGGTTCTGTGATGTTTTCCATTTTCTTATTTGCTTGTCAATGCTTTTAACTTTTTTTTTATTATTAAATTTGTAGTATTCTCATAGTTTTTAAATCCTCATACATTCTCCTGCAAAAACAGGAAAACTGGATTTTGGTCAAAAAGCATTTGGAATCTACTTTCTGGTATGCGCATTGTTGAAAACTAGGGAAGACCAAGCAGCTAATTGGGAATGAAGTGGGTGAGTTAGGTCACTTTTTTTGGACCATTGCTAGAAATTTGGCTTTAGCACTCTTTAAGTTTCTTGAAGTGGGGACAAGTACCTAAAAATGTGAAGTTGAGGTAGTTTAACACCCTGATTAAATGTAATATGTTGTTTTATTCTTATTATTGTGACAAGTAAAGCTCTGGATTGTTGCATAGTACATTTTGCACTTTCTTTTGCAGTCTTAGTTTGAATATCTTTGATATTAGTGCATGAGGATATGGATTAAGAAATCACTTGGCACAATGGAGGAACTATAAGAACGATTAGGAGGCACGCTATTATGATAGCATGAGGTCATTGTCATATCATTTAACCCAAGTTACAGATAGTGTGAGTAGAGACCCATGGACAAGCCTTGTCATCTTCAAGGGTCGGGGCAATGCGTTAAACATTCAAGTGTTGTTTCGAAGTATAATAGTAAGCATTACAACTGTCTTCATCCTGCTGCTTGTAATTCTCTTAAATTGGAGAAGTTTTAGCAAGACAAACAAAAAAATTAGGTCGAATGGAAAAACTGGCCATACTTTGGGAAAGGAAAGCTATGCTAGGATCACCCTTGGAAAGGTATAAAAGCAATGATTAATCAGCCCTAGGATTACCTCTGGAAAAGTATCAAGCTAAAAATGCAATTGTTTGTCTTATCTAAGATAATTGTGCAAATACATTTATGTTTCTGTCAATGGAATACGAACTAAGATAAGTCTTTCTGTTTTTTTTTTTTTTAATATGTACAAATGAAGGATATATTGGAGCTGTATTCTGACTAAACAAAAGAAGATATTGTTACCTTAGCTTAAAACCTGGGTTATGTTTGATATTAGTCCTTGTCTTTTAGAAATTTCAGCCTCTTACATATAAGTATTTAGCAAACTTGAACTTGAACTCATAGATATAGAAGGTTTAAAGAGTTCATCAATTGGTGGACCTACAAATAATTATACAAACTTGGATCAGATGAAGAGGATGATGGTTCATGCACTGCAGACGATAAGTCGTGGTAATCCAGCTGACTTGGACTTTGGCTCATTGTCCACTACGCAGGTAACGTTTGACTTGGGTCATTGGATTCATTGTATTCTAGAATTTGAAATAAAGCTGCAGAAGATGCAGATTAGATGCGAGTGTGTTTCGAATGGACATATGGGGGATGTGGGTCTAATGTTGTGGTGTTTACTAGGGAAAATTCCAAAAATCCCCCAAAAGTGAGCCCAATTTCTCAAAGTTCCTCCTGGTGGCTACGGCTCCAAGTCCACCACTGAGCAGGTCACCGAGTGCCGCCGCAACCTCCGCTCTATCACTGCCATCACTGGTAAACTGGAGCTTTCAATGATTTTCGTGCTTATTCACTCTAATAGCGATGAAATTGATAACAAAAGTCAATTTCATTGATTGTGATAACCGTTGATGGTGATGATCAGGTGCGATGTTGGAAATCAAAGCCGAGATGGCTTGGGTGCTGGTGAAGTGCGGCACAAGGCGGGTGCTCCCCGGTTGGAGCCTCAAAGCCGTTAAGACAGCCGGTGCTTGCATCATCTCTGAGGGTCCTGATTGCTAAACTCTGTTCACGACCATTTGCATTTTCTCTGCACCAACGAATTGAAATTGTGAAATTTATAGATTAGGGTTTGATGGGATGTGCGGTTTCAGACATTTTGGGACAAAAGTACTTCTGTTAAGGGCTGGACACATGACTCGCATGTGATCGCCTTTTGGCCAATATTCTGGCTGCCAATGAGCTGGGAAGGGGGGGTGGAGGGGTCATCTGACACGATGCCGCTAACTTCAGGGGTTTTTCTGGGAAACAAATCCCATTCTGGGAGGAACTTTGAGAAAACGGGCTCACTTCAAAATGCTATTAATTGACTTTCATGAAGTGTTTAAATTGAGATTCGGTTAATAATGGCGTTGTCCTTTTTATTGTGCATTATACTTGTTTCTGCTGCTAAACATCCAGTTTACCAATTTACATCTGACAAAAGTGCCTAATTATGTTGTAGGAAATTGGTAAAGGAGGTTCGCTTGGTACCGATATGCGGTCACTAACCTCGAGTTTTGTATCTCGCTCCGGTGAAAAAGGTAGAACGCTGCACCATCTAATCTTTGCGCATATACGTAGATTCTGAATTCAAGCTGCTAGTATGACTTTTGCAGGTGGAAGTACTTGGGGGCATCGACGGGGTCCGATATTAGATGTTCGCCTTTCCTGTGCATGTTCTTCCTTTGTGCATCGAACTGTTGAACCTGGTTACAATTGACTGGTGTTCTTAGGACTTACAGGTAAATCAGGTTTAGAATTAGTAGCTCCCTACCTCCCTCCCTATGGTGGTTGTTCTTGTTAAGCTATCGAAAAACCAACGTCATGGAGTGACTTTTCCTGAAGTCGACAGGATTGGAAGATCTATCGGGGAAAATTGCAATTACCTTTATCAGGACCTTTCTCCAACATTGTCCTCCTCACCAATATATTGAGCAAAAGCCATTCTCGCCAATATCCTGAAAAATCACCTCGTTAAAATTTTTTCATTAATTCGATCGGTTTTATTGATTAAGGGTGTAAACAGTTAGGTTTGGTTCGGTTTTCTTGAAAAACCGAACTGAACCGAACCATTAAGGGCGCCCCCTTGAACCGAACCGAAACTCGCTCGAATCGAATTGGAACCGAACCGAAAAATCGATTTGGTTCGGTTTGGTCAGGATCAGTTTTCGATTTCTTCTTCTTCTTTTTTTTGCTTTTTATTCATGGCTCAGTATTTTTTTTCGAACTTCCTTCTTCCTTCGCAGATCTATTCTGAAAGAGACTCTCTCTCTCTCTCCTTTCCGTCGAAGCTGCTCTCGCCTCCAGCAATGGCGGCCACTGACACCTAGTTCGATCTGATCAGTAAGCCCACCCCCCTCTCCTCCATTTCCACTTTCCCTCTTCTTTCTCTCTCTAACCCCCCCCCTTCCTCTCTCTCTCTCTCTGTGCGTTTCCCTCGGCAGCCGTCGCCCCACTCCGCCTTCTACACCGGGTACCTCTCTCCCTCCCCTCCACCACCCATGCTGCGTCTTTTCGCCTCCGCGCGTTGCGAGTGTTGATAGGTATGTTTTTTTTTCACCTCCTTTTGTTCTTGTTGGGGGCCCTCGATCCAGGGAGTACGTGTTCGCCGATGCTGGAAACTTGGAGCACTGCGCTTGGTACTTGAACCAGACGCTCATCACTTTCGGCTTCCTTGGACCTCTTCGCCAGCGATCCGGTGCGTTCTCGTTGCAAGGGGTGGGGGGTTGTTGTTGAAAGGTTGAGCTTCCCCGCTGGTGGTCCTGATCTGCTTTGCTTTCTCCGGCAGGTATTGATCACCCAGACTTGTAATTGCCTTTACCCTTTACTTCAGCAGGGGCAGCGCGATGTCGAATTCAGAGACTCTGCTAACGAGCAGAGGCAGATGCAGCGAGGGCGAGATAGCCCTAGAGCTCAAAGCAAAAGACTTTAAGGGTAAAAACTGAAGTGTCTATTTCAGTTCGGCTCAATCCGAACCGAACCAAAATAAACCGAATTGAAAAAAAGAATTGGTTAATTTTGATAATCCGAACTGAAACCGAAACCGAAATCGAAATGCACGAAATTTCCGGTTTGGTTCGGTTCGTATCTCGATTCGATTTTTCGGTTCGGTTCTGACATCCCTATTATTGATAATGTCCTGACATCTATGGGCTAACAAATACGATGATACTTCAGCTCATTGTGCTTTGTCCTTGAATGAAATACCAAATTCATTGCAAGACAAATAATACCGCGACTAAAACGACGCTGCTAACAATCTGATCCTAATGGAGGTGACAAATACCGCATGATATTGATTGTGCGCTTTGTCGGGGGTGGTTTGAATCTCAATTCGTTATTGTCTAGTAGCATAGGATGAAAGTTCGTGTTTTGTTCAGTAGTAAGAGGTCGCCGATGTTGATTTAGGGACTGGTACATGTCACGTAAATAACGAGTATTCAGACCATATTTAGGTTAAGTTGAACATGGAAATTGTGACGACAATGCTTAAATAGTTGTAAAGAATGATAAAAACGTTGAACATTGTCCCAAAAACAAATGCAGATGCTAAAAATCGAACTCTCTTGTTGATTGTCCTCAAGCAACCTTAAAGTCACCCTCTAGTTGCCTGCATCTTAGCACATATCCCGACTTTTTCACAGTTCCGCCCCTGCTCTATGAGTCTAAAGCTAAATTGTAAATATCTCTAGCCAAATTGACCAAAGTCAACCCCTCACCCATGATTCGAATCGAATGAACCAAGAATTTTTTATAGCACATTTCTCCTTTGGTTGTTAACATGTGGCATGCACGATGTTGAAAAGATATTGCCTTCTTTCCATCTTCTAATATATTTGCAATGATTTACACAGCCTAGCCATGTCATAGAGAAAAAAGAACATAAGTAAATTTGAAACCAACTGCTTTTACCATGTCTTCGGACAAAATGTTGACAGCATCGTCATAAATCCATACTCTACTGCATCGAGCAGAACTTTTGGGACATTCCTGTACAATAAAATCTTTACCCATCAACCGAAGCAAGTCATGCATTTGCAAGGTCCCGGCCTCATGTTTTGTCAATGACCTTTCCATGATAATATCTATTCCTATGACTGTGTCAAAATCACAGCCGTCAAGAACTTCCTTGATTAATTTATACTCTTCCTTTCAAAGAAATAATCAATGTAGAGGAAAATCTCCTTCTCATTTTCCTCCAATCCATCAAAGCTTGTCTTGAGAACTCGATTGATAGCTTGTTCTGTACTTCTGGCAAGTTTTATCCAGTGTACTTTTCCATGTGGCCCTCCCTCTCTCACATAAGAACGAGCCTAACACCTCGAGTGCTAATGGAAGGCCGTTAGCATAATGAACCGCACTTCTACAAGATCCCTGCTTATTTCAACCTTTTTACCATTTGGAAAGGCATGTTGACCAAAAAGCTCTTGTGCTTGGCTGTCTCCTAGAGCTTTTAACTTCGTACACACGTTTTATGCCGTTAGAAGTTAGCAAATGTTTATCTCTTATTGTAACAATGATTCTACTTCCTTTGCCAAACCAATTGCATTCTCCCGCTGGCGCATTTAATTGATCCAACCGATCCACGTCATCTAGAACAGGAGGACTTTTTTGCAACAAAGTCTTTCTTACATCAGAGTAATCCCCCCATCGACACTATACACCATCAAATTTTTATGCAATAGAATCTCAGATAGTAGTTTTTTCTTGTGAAGGAACTAGATCATTGCATTTGTTCCAAGTTTCTCTAACTCAGTGCTAGAAAACTCGAACCTGCAAAGTGTCTCCATATAGCATTATATACGGCTTCTGCAATTGTTATCCTCCCTATGTCTCCAGGTCCCCATATGCTTCTCGTACGAACATCTCATCTGACTCCATTTCAGAGATGCGGATGTCCGCAACAACTTCCTCGGTTATCTCTATGCCGACCAACTGTACAGGTTCTTCGAAGAACATTTCCCTGAGTCGTAGAAAGAACCTGAAACTGCGTACTAGCTAATAAGCTCCCTTTATCACCAGTAAATTCTAGAGGCAAAGGATTACTTTGTCAATGAACCGAGACAGTAAAGGCATATAGAAAGAACCTGTACAGTAGGTAGTACTGTCATTGACTGTCCCAACCGCTCCCCGGCACTAGCTAAACTGGTCGACGGACAGAGAGAATAAGCAAAAATTCTTAGGTTTTCCGGTGTTCCGCGATGTGAGTTCAATGCATCATCGTTTTTAATTTTGGTGGGTTCCATGCAGCACTCGCAATATCGTAGGGCTAAGGTACAACACCGGGCTCACGTCAGCCCGGTACATCAAAGAATGCCTCGAGAATAAGATAAACAAACAAAGAAGAGAAAGAGAGAGATGAAACTTGCTGGCTCTACTCGCTCTATCATAAACGAATAAACCCCACCATGCTCATCTTTCTTTAAGTTGTACAATCTTCTCGAAAATTTTTGCACAAATAGTTGTTTAAAATTTTGGTAAAACTTAAAACTCTCCGATATGCGCTAAACTCGTATATAAGATCATCAATTGATTTGATACAATTATTTCATTTAAGCTACAAGGATTGAGTTCGAGCTAAATATGATGAACATGGACATAACATCTTTGTAATCATGAAAATGGTTGACATAAATATAAATTAATGTAGACATATATCTAAAAATATTATTTTTAAGGTTATATTTTATAAAGATGGGTAGTGTTTGATTAATTACAAATGTTATATGTAATGTGTTAATAGTTGGAAAGATAGAATGAGAAAATGGTTGTGGCAGCCAAAACAGCTGAGAAAGAAAAATGAATGAGTGTACAATAGCGTCTTAATTAAAAAATGTCACAAAGATATATACAAAGGCTAGCTAAGACATATTGTTTGTTTCGTACAAAAGAAGCACGCATTTAACATAAAACTTAAATAAAAAAACAAAACTAAGATCGAAATTGTCCCTACCAATCAGTGCTCATATAGTCATTCGACATTAATTGCAAGTTGGACGTGAATTAACAGTTTTTTTTTCTAATTTCACGTGTGTATTATTAGTTGAATAAAATGAAAAAATAAATTAATTAATGAAAATACAAAAACAAGAAAAGTGAAAAAGAAAGTAAAACGGTTGAGAGATGAGAATAGAGAAAAAGGATAGAAGAATAAGAGTTTGGTTCCTAAATTTTTAATTTATTTAATATAGTTCCTAAATTTTTAATCCAATGTAGAATGTGATCCTCGAATTTCTAATTTATTTAATGTCATCCTTGAACTTTTTGTATATGTTCAATTTAGTCAACGAATTATATGAAAATTTTCAATATATTTCTTTCATTAATTTAAATTCAATGACTACATTTGAATATTTTAATATAATTCAGGGATTATATTGAAAATATATCAAAATTTTTTTGATCATCATTTTGAATATTTCGCTGTTAAAAATTAATTCGAGTTAAATTTATTACATGTGCCCATTTTAAAAAAAAATTTATGACAAAAAAATTAATTTTAATATATTTATATAGATGTATGGATTATCCCACGTTTTTACGCAAAACTCAAAAGATCGGGCCTTCTTTTATTCATGAAAGAAAAACCCGTCTGAGCGACGATGAGTTGAACAGGATTACCGAGAGGCCTTAGCTTCCTTCGTTCAACGGTGGTGATGGCGGCTTCCAGGACCCTGTCTTCCTCATCTTCTTCTTCTTCCTCCTCTTCATCAGCTGCAAAAGGTAAACTCTCCTCTCTCTTCGCACACCCACTTAGAAGTTCTTCCCAAATTCTCAAACTTCCTCGAGAGCTCGCCGCCGGGGCCTCGCCGCCGCCCCCAAAACCCGCGCTTTCCGCCGGCGCGGAGGCCCGAGCTCGACTCATCGCTTTCGTCGAGAAGAGGTGTAAGACGGGGGACTTCGCCGTGGACGAAGCGCTCCGCCACTTCGATCGCATGATCTCTGTCCGACCCGCTCCTCCCACTTGGTCGTTTCGCGTGTTATTGGGCGCCTTGGCTAAGAAGAAGCATTACTCTGCGGTGATTTCTCTTCGCAGGAAGCTGGAACTTACTGGGCTGTTGTCTGATTGCTTTGTGCTGAATATCTTGTTGAACTGCTTCTGCAACGAGAGGCGGGTGAACGATGCTTTCGCGGTCTTGGGGTCGATTTTTCGCCGAGGCCATTGCCCCACTGTAGTCACTTACAATCAATTGGTGAAGGGATTGTGCTTGAAACATAAAATCGGCGAAGGGGTCGCCTTGTTTAAGAAAATGGCGCATCTGGGTTGCCGGCCGAACGTTGTTACTTTCGGCATTTTGATTAGTGGGTTATGTCAGACCGGCAATACGAGCACGGCACTCGAGTTGCTTGAAGAAATGCTGACTAGCAATGGTGAACATAGCGTTGTATGCAAGCCGAATATAGTTTGCTATGGTGCTATTATCGATGGACTTTGCAAAGACGGGTTGCTAGAAGAGGCCAGCAAACTTTTCATGGAGATGAAAGGTGGTGGTATTTCACCAAATTTGGTCGTTTACAACTCGCTGATATGTGGCTTGTGCTGCGTGGGACTGTACAAGGAAGCCACGGATTTGCTTAACGAGATGGAGGATCAAAGAATCGAACCTGACATAATTACATTTAATTCTCTGTTGAATGTTCTCTACAAGCAGTGGAAGTTCGAAGAAGCCGAAAACATGCTCAAATTGATGATTGAGAGGGGTGTGGTTCCTAGTATTGTTACCTATAACACGATAATGGATGGCTTGTGTTCAGCAGGTAAGGTTGATGAGGCAAGGGAACTGCTTGCTCATGTGTTGAATAAGGGTTGTCTAGTTACCACGGTTAGCTACAATGTGCTGATCAATGGGTATTGCAATCAAGGTAGTATGGAAGAAGCCATGAATGTGTATAAGAAGATGATTGATAATGGAGTTAAGCCAACAAAAGTTACTTTTGGCAGTTTAATGCTTGGTTTTTTCCGCAAAGGTAGGGTCCTCGATGCACGGGAATTGTTTAGTGAAATGAAACGTCATGAAGTGGAACCCGATTCATTCACATTCAACATACTTTTGGATGGACTATGCAAGAATAATTTGCTTTCAGATGCATTGGATTTTTTTCATTCCAAAGATTGCAATGGAAAGGTAAATGTTGCAACCTTCAATTGCCTCATTGATGGGTTGTGCAAAGCAGGGAATCTGAAAGCTGCATGGGACTTATTCCACATGTTGCAGCAGGATGGGTTAGCACCAGATGTTGTAACATACTCTATCATGATTAATGGGCTCTGCCGACAAGGTCAACTTGAAGAGGCAAATGAGCTTTTTGTGAAAATGGAAGACAATGGCTGTGCTCCAAATGTCGTCACATTCAACACATTAATGCATGCTTTTTGTCAAAAGCATGAGGCGCTGAAGGTGATTGAGCTGCTTAAGAAAATGGCAGGAAAAAATTTAGTACCAGATGCAACCACAGCATCCATAGTATTTGACTTGCTTTCAAAGGATAAAAATTATCACGAGTATCTGACTTTACTTCCAGCATTCCCTTCATGAAAGTACATGGGAGAAGACACTGTTCGGTCATTGGCATGCTTTTTACAGAAGGACTGCAGCGGACAAGACCAGCATCACCCTGCGATTGCGATTTTTGGCGGACGGTAAGTCAAATTGTCTGCTGTACTCAACTAGCTTTGGCATTGTGGTCTTCATAGGTCATGTAGGGATTACAATTGATACAGGTTTTTGATACAATTGAATGCATGTGAAGAAGCATGTGGCACATCCCTTGGCATGCCCGTCCATATATAATTGCTTTATGTTTGGCCACTCGATCAAGTCTTATGCTTTTTACCTTTATAGAGGAGCAGACAGGATCAATTGTGCACTCCAGTTGTGTAGTTGTAGGAATGCCTCTTGGAGCTCCGCACCGCTGGGTCTCATGTGGTGCATTTGGAAATGGAAAGGACACGCCAAAAGATTTTTGGATTTCATAGTTGGAAGCTGTTGTTTCCAGAAGGTAAGAGAATGGTTATAGGATTCTCTGCGGTGGTGAGCTAGAGTGGAGTTGGAGAAAGCGCTCTGCACTGTTGCAGTAAAAGGAGTGATGAACTGAGGGAAAGGTCCTGAACGATTCTATCAAGGAACTGGCACAGCTGGAGTTCTTAATCTCGAAAAATGCTGGGCTTAATGTACGTTAGCAAAGAAGAGTAATGTGTTCAAGAAGTTTGCGCCGGTCTTGTTATTCAGCTGTTACTGGAACTGTATGCTCATGTTGCTCGATCAAGAGTCCGCAACTTCGGATTTTCCTCGAGTCTGTGCATCTTATGTTTACCTTGGCACTCGATTCATCAAGGCTTTATCCTTCCTAACAATGAGATCCATATGATGACTTGGGTGGAATGTACCGGCTTTGTTGCTGTCAATGTGGTTTGTACTTCTTCCTGCTGGTGGGGCTAGTTGACTGTGCAGTCGCATTTTATTTCCAATAAAAGACTTCCCCTACCGTGGATGTAGAAGTTTTAGAAGGCCGGAACTGATAACCTGAAGTCGAGTAACAAGACTCTTCGCGGTTTATATTTCGAAGCTTTACTGTTTTTATTTTGTGATTAACGGCACAAGAAATTTATTAGTAAACAAGACCCTTCAAATGAATTGACTACTTCTGTGTCTAATCATCCCACTTCTATTACTGATATATCACAAAGCATCGCTTCCATGATCTTGAGCAAGAATTCTCTTTAAGATGCTATGTTACTATTTGATCCTTGGACTAAAATCTATAGGTTCCCTGCCATGATACATATTCCAAAGTGCAAATAATTGAAAACGCAAGGATTAAACAAAGGAAGAATCGGCTTTCCTGATATCCTAGAAAAGTGACATCGAAGAATTTGATTAATTTGATATGCCTAAATCATAACAGAAAAGTCGAAATTTTCATTCCCGTGCCTGCTTTTAGTCCTGAGTCCTGTGGCGGCAAAAAGGATTCATTTCCCTATCAAATTATGAAATTGTGATGAAGATGAAGTTCAATGCAAAAACAGGAAGCCCTGTCCACGTCATTTCCAATCTTAGCCTTGAAAGAAGTTGGCCGTCAATAATTCAAGAATGGTGAAGCAGTTGCGTATTATAACTGCACAAGACCCTCTAAGAAGGGATGCCTAGCAGTAAAGCAGCTATTGAGACCCCCAAAAAGAAAACAGCACAAGAATCAGCTACAAAAGCTCGAACTCAAGAACCGATTTTTACTGACTTAAGTGAAAACTAGAGCTTCCCCAAAAATGGCCCAGGCAGACTTCATCTCGGGAGTCCCTCTAATGAGGTTTCACCTTTCACCTTGAGGCCTAGCTTCGTGTTCGGTAACAACATGCATCCGCTCAAGCTTAATCTGGACATGATGGACCATGGAGCTGAAATATTAATGCAATCATCCAATCAAAATGTAACTGAACTCTTCAACCGTGCAGGCTCAAGCTCAGACAGCAGTTCAGAGACCACTTTTCGCAAGGGTACCCGATTCCCCTGAGCACTCTTCCCGTTGATGACCATCTCCGAAAGAATGCTAATTTCACAAGAATCCAGTTTCTCACCGAGAACTAACTTCCAAAATTTGTCATCTTCATTGAGATTTGAAGCTTTCATCAGTTCTATAGCCTGATCTAATTTTGCCACGTTCCTGCCTGCGCCACAACCCATAGCCGTTGCAGCACCAACTGCATTCGCAAGTGCTAATGTGTTGACCAAGGGAATATTATGGATGAAACCGTAGGCGATAGCAGCTACAAAACTATCTCCACAACCAACAGTGTCGACGACATTCACCTTACACCACAAGTTCAAACAGTATTAAAAATCAAATATGGAACAACTGAAGATGAGAACTTGACAAGCAGAAAAAATTGGATGCCAAGACTGTTAGCCATCATGAAACTTAAAGAAGTGTTAGCCAACAGATAATTCTAAGATTTTGCGTAATAGAATCAATCTTGAAATAGTAAAAAACAATCACAGACTCCTAACAAAGTTTAGTAACATCAATACGGCTACCTAATAAACCAATTTTGGTACAGACAACCGACCCTGTTGACGAGTGAAATTTGAAACTCCATTCTTCTTGTAAAAAGGAAACTCTCAGTTGCTTGGTCAGTAACAGCGAAAAATTCTTAAATAAACAGTCCCCTTAATTTCCCATCCATAAAGATATACCACTGCTCGCAATGTCAACTTTCATGTTATTAGGCTGACCATTCAACATCCAATTCCAAAAGGACTCAGTTATCCAATGAAGGTAAAAGAATAAGACTGTTTTTCACACTCGAGGCATGAGCATCATCATGATATTTCTTTTCTGTTTTTCACACGGGAGATTTTTTAGGGGTCATATCCCACTTATATCCAACCTTATCCTGTCTAGCAACCGAACACGGGATAGGACCTATCCTGGCTTTTATCCTGGTCACCAAGCATAACCTTACTGATTAAGGAGAATAAGTCCCCCACAAACACACTTGAACACGGAAATTATTACTAGAATTTGATTATGGCCCTTGGGCAGGTTAAACTGCCGAGTGCACATATAAAGCCCCAAATTTGGCATACCTCTACACAGTAAGCAGGGCCCAATCATACAATTATTCTTGGGTCAAGTCCAACTAAACCAGACACTGTTTAGGATTGAGCGTAAGATCCTCTGCTTGTGAGATAATATTAGTAGAAGAATGAGGATGACATACAAGAGTGCGTTACCGCGAGTATTTACAAACCTTGAATGCAGGTGCACAAGATATACTTGATCCCGTGATGATGATGGAACCTCTAGCGCCCATTTTAATGACTACCCACTTCATACGTACACCTTGCTCTAGCAACTCCTGTCCAGCTAGAATCGGGTCATTAATTCCAGTGAGTGACTCAGCCTGAATCCAAACGATTGAATAACAGAAAATCTATTAGAAAAGAGAGAAGTACTGAATAGAGATTGGCAGAATAGATAGAGAGCAGATCCAATATATCATGACAAGGTAAACATGTAAACAGAGTTCCGAGACATTATTACAAAATGATAGATTCAACTTCTCTCTTGCACAATCAATTGCCTGCACCCATCATTAGATTCACCCCCAATATAATGAGCACACAAGAAACAAAGGTACTCGGTCAACCAAACATTACAATTCAAAGGAAGAAATTCCTAAACAATAACTGCTTCTAAAAAAAACTGGACAAGCAATACATGCAAACTTGTAATTCGTTACGTGGTATGCTTCCCGATGACTGATACAAACGTGATTACGATATTTCTGCATTTGCTTTTCAAAGAAATTGCACGTATTTGCATGTTATTTATATATACATTAGAGACCATTCCAACGAATATCTCTTTCAAACTTGGGAAAAAAAAAAGGATCATGTCAGATGTCTTTGCCAACTATGCAGAAAATTCTAAATAACACGAGGTAAGACAAGAAAACTGCATGTTGAATTGCATCTGGTGGAAATTTAGCTGCAGCAACAGTGACAGTGACTCACTACGAGATAATGAAAACTAGTGGATTATTAAAAAGCTTAGTTGGGTAAAACCAAAAATTTCAGCATGTTGAAGAAAGGTTATTTGGACACAAGAGAGGATTGACTAACCAAACCAGTGAAAGTTTTGGGAGCTAAGGTAAACAAGCGGAGATGATTAAAGCTCCAGAACTATACACACTGAAAGCCATGTGGCTTTGAAAGTGTAAGGAGGGTAATGCTTCATCAAAGCACCTAAATTACCTGCCACTAAGAAACATGATCTTAAAGGAGAAAAATAGCTAGACTTTCTGAATGGGCATTTTAGTGCCCGCTTGAGGGTACAAGAAATAGGCATTAGTGATAAGAAACTTGGCAAGGCTACAAGATTATCGCATTATTAAAAATCCCCAAACAACAGTATAGAGTTGCAAGAATAGTACTCGTGATAATTGAAAGAATATTTCAAGGAAAGAGCTGAACCTCATCAGAAGTAAGAAGAAGAACGTCACTCATCTGCAGGATCTTTCTAAGTGCCTTCCGTTCTTCTGGTGTTCCTTTGGAAAGGTTCTTTCCTCGTGGTCCAGGATCAAAAAAAATTGATGTACCAACCTCAACAGAATAATCTAAAGCTGAGGTTATTAAATCAGGGGACAGTTCATCAAAGCCATAACCATTGCAGAATAAGATCTTTGACTGCGTAATAGCAAGCTTTACTTCAGCAGATAGTTCATTCAACCAACTGAATGCAGGTTCCTTTTTGAAATCAGCTCGACTAGTAAAAGAATAGATAATATCAGAAATATTCTTGACAAATATGTACTGTAGGGTTGAAAAATGATAGTGACAAAAATGTTCAACAATTCCAATAAAGATAAAAGACAAGCAATACTTTTAGTAAGTCTACCTGCAAAAACCATGTCTTTGTAATGGATCCACGAGAACCCAACATAAAAGTGTTTCATACGAGGCACTGGAGTTGTTCACATCGGCATCTTCATTCATACCAACCATACGAATGCCCTCGTCATGAAGGACATCTATGAGGAACTTCCCATAAATTTCGTCACCCACATGACCAATTGCAGTACAGTTGAGCCCCAATCTTGCTGCTGCTATAGCAGTATTGCAGTTGCCTCCAGCTTCCCAGTATCGCTATGCATGAAAGCACAAACAAATAACAATAGGAATTGCAAAAATGCATATACTCAACAGCGTTTCCTGACTACATCATCTGCAGGAACAAATAAACAACAATCATGAACAACTTGATTGACTCCTCCTCATAGTGCATGAGGGATTAGCAAGTTTTCTTGTTCTACCATGCACAGTTATTGGACCCACATAACAAAGTCCTATCAATCTATCACATCCCGCTCAGAATATTGAGGCACCCTAGCAGAGCAGTATCTAAAGACCGGGGTCAACTGTTCAACACTCAAAAGCAGAGTACCCTATAGTTTTAAGATCAGTTTGCTTTGAGAATCTATCTACCTTTGAAATCAGTACAACGTCCAACAACAGGTTCCGCCTTACCTACACAGCGGGAGCGTCCAGAATTCTAGAGGATGCGATTGCTATTCGGTCTTAATCAAAACCAAAAGGAGCTGAAAGCTCTTTCTTACATGTCAACTAGCGATCTATCTTTTCAAAGTGGCCACGGGAAGGAAACGACCAAACTGTCTCAGCCAATTCTCATTTAACTTGCATCTCAAACAGCAAAATTCCAAATTTTGTCCAAGTCATGGAAAATTGGATCTACCATTAGGCTCAGTGTACCTCCAAACAAGACAAGCGACTAAGATCTCAAGCCAAAGTAAACTGAAAAAGTCGTCACGAGTTCGCACAGAAACTGCATTTAAGTTCCTCAACTGACCTTATCGGGCGGCGAAGCAGACAGCTCTTCCATATAAGCCTTCCTCTCCTCCTTGGACGGCGGGGGCAGAGCGGGGACGTTGAGGACGATGTCGACGCAGAGATTCCCGAGCGTGGCGACATCGACGTCCCTCGCCGCAATGCCCCGCACCTTCCCGTCGCTCAAGCAGCAGCCGCCGTAGCCGGCGGTCGCGAAGCCGGGCGGGGCCGAGCGGCGGAGCCCCCCGGCGGCGGCGCCGCCTCCGTCCCTGCAGCTCAAGAAGAAGGAAGCGCAGCGGGGATGCCACCGGGCGTGGGGAGACGTGGTCGGCGGAATCGGGATTCTGAGTGGAGGGTTTTCGGATAAGGTCACATGGAAGAGGAGCGGGCGTTTCGGAGAGATTGCGAAGCGATGCATTCAGAGAAGGAGACAGAGGAAAGTGGAACAAGAACAAGAACAAGATCAAGAACAAGAAGCTATACCGCAAGAACAAGAATTCGCAGGAAGCCAGCACGGAGGGATACTGTTCTGCAACTGTTTTTATTTAGTAATGTGGAAAATGGAAAATGGAAAATGGAAATAGTAATAGTAGTAGTAGTAATTAAATATAATAATGATAATAATAATGAAAAGAAATTTGGGGAATGGAATCGAGTGAAGGCGAAGAGAGATCCTTCGGGTCAACAACTTGACCCCTTCCCCAACTGCCCTTTTCCCATTTATGCTTTGCGGATTGGATTCACAGAATCTTTCTTCTTCTTCTTCTTCTTCTTCTTCTTCTTCTTCTTTTCAAATGGATTTGCTTTTCTATTTATGCCCATTTTGTGGTGGATTTCTTTACCTAGCGACACTTGTTGAACGCTTCATTTCTTCCAGCTTGATTAAAATACGCTTCTGCTATAATTATGTCTTGTTCTCTAGTTGTATTACTGCGATTCCTTCTTGGAAAAAAACAAGGAACAATCTCAGAGATGTAGAGATCGATCTGCATAACGAGGGCGGCCGATGCTTGTTGAGCATTTGCAGAATGGGTTCGACCGCCGGTTGTGGGGAACAACTGCGGTTGGAAGTCCTTAAAAAATTGGGTGTGAGATGTCCTAGATCTTCTAATCGATGCAGGCGAGTCCCGAATCGGTTTACGAAAGTGAAGCGAGCCGGTCGGTAATTCTCCGCTCTCTTCGTGCTACTGTGTAGTCAACTATTGACTGCCATGTAAAGCAATTTTTTAGAGGAAGAATTCAATTGAATTTTTTCCGAAAGGATTCGGGATTTAACTGCATGAATTGAAGTATTGAGGATTTATTTGGGCTCCTCACACACAATTTAGGATTTTAAATGCACTTTGTTGTTTTTCATGATTGTATGGGGGGTAACTTTCGGCCCTTCCGACTAAATACATCTTAGGCGGGTCAATTATGAATGTCGCTTGCAAAGATTTCCTTTCCTTCTCCATCGATGTGTACAACATACAAACGAATCAAGATACAAAGGAATTTTACTGAGCAATCCTAGCTAATGTATCCATTTACTTGGATTTTTCTTGTTAAGCGGCGAAACGATGTCGTAGCCAACTCTTTTAAGCAGATTTTCAATCCATGGAATTGAGGATGGTACAAGTCTAACGAATCTCTACCGTTTGATTAAATTATGCGAGAGGAATATACAATCTGCCTCGCTGATTCCTTAAGGTCGCTCAGGGAGATGGATATGCCGAGGTGCATGAGAGCTAGTCTCGACAATATCTGACCATTAAACCAAACAAAAAAGATTCATAACAAGTTAATGGACTAACTGCTAAAGTGATGAAATGTATAATTTATATTGGTAAGTCACTGATAAAAAGGTTTTATTAGCGATCGATATGTTTATATTTTCTCTTGGAATATGTAAAATTACTTATCGTTATTGAAAATGGTCACTATAAAATATTGACATTCTCAACTTTAAAAGATTTGGCCGAACTCAAAATGGGTTCAGGCGGCCCGTCAAGGTGCATGGGCCCCCACCAGCATGGGCTACGTGAGATGTTGAGCCTTGCCCAGCCCGACACGACCCTAGCATAGCCTTACCAAAAAATGGGTCGTGCTGACTCGCCTCGACCCCTTTTAAAATGAGTCACCTCAGTTTGTGTATGAGATTTCTTATATATCAATATGGGTCGGGTAAGGTACGAGTTGGGTAAAAAATGGGTCAATGAATTTGTATTGCATGGGAATTATTCAATTTGGATCAAATCATTTTCGACCCAATCCAAAATCGACTCAATTCATTCATTTGACAGGTCTAAATTTTACATGTGTAACTTCTTTCGTTTAATTCGACAAAAAAAAAACAAGTTTTATTTAAAGTTTAAGCCAAATTAAAGATATATCCACGGATTGCCCACGCGATCTCACAAGCAAATCCTATCCAGCCAAAAAAAAAACAGAGAGATGAAATCCAAATTGAATTCGAGCTCAAGAGGCCAGTCAAACATATCATACACACATACATATATACATATATATGCGCATAAACATTTAAAAATAAAAAAAAAAGATAAAAAAAAAACAATTCAAATATCAAAATTTATATTCCTCCACAGCCATTACTAGCCAACCACCGCACGAATGGCCGCTTCCATCGCCACCCCGAAGCTCACCGCCACCTTCTCCGCCGCGCCGTCCCTCCAAACCCTCCGCCGGAAGCTCTCGACCCCTCTCTCCCGCTCCCTCTCTCTCCTGCCCCCTTCGGCTCCGCGGACCCTCGACCTCGACCTCGGCCTCCGCTCCCCCACCAAGCCCCGGCCCCGCCGCCGCCGGCTCTCCGTCGAGGCCGCCGAGCCCGACAACGGGGCCGAGACCGCCCGCCACTACGACTTCGACCTCTTCACCGTCGGCGCCGGGAGCGGCGGCGTCCGTGCCTCCCGCTTCGCCGCCAATTTCGGCGCCTCCGTCGCCGTCTGCGAGCTCCCGTTCTCCACCATCTCCTCCGAGACCGCCGGAGGCGTCGGCGGAACGTAAGCTGAAATTCGCGGGACCTCTGTTGCTTCTCTTCGCTAGTTCTTTCTTCATTCTGAGCGAATTTGTTCTGGCGGGCCAAGTCTGTGATGTTACTTGATGCTTCTGAGTTTTAGCTGGTGGATGTTGTTTTAAGGTCAATTGTAACGTTGTCTAGAAGAATATGCTCTGCTGAGTGTTGTTTTGTTCCAAAGTTTGAATTTTGTTCTCTTTGTTGTTTGTTGAAAGAATTGGGTTCCTACTTCCTAGTTAGTATGTAAGTTTGCAGCGTCATTATGCAATCGCTTATTCAATTTTGATCTTAACCATATCTGCTTTGCCATTGCCTCCAATACGTTTATATTAACGACAGAAGTCAATTCCTGTTTTCGTTTGATGTTCAAATGTCCTCAATCCTTACTGGAATTGGATCAATCTCTACCTGGGAATGTCATCGCAAGATGTGGGGTGATAAAGGAGAGAGCAAATTTTTGCATGCCAAAGCTTAAGTGCTTTGAGAAGGTTTGCTTGAACTGGTAATGTTTGTCATTTCATCAGTTAGCATCCAAATTGTTGGACCATAGTTGATTTACAATAGCAGGGAAGTTTGGCAAAGGCCTTGTGGAGAAATTATAGCAACCTATCCTTATCTTCCCTCACACAAGCATATCCCCTTATCCCATGAATGCTGTCCTGTTGACTGACCCAAACATAGGAGGGATAACAATTGCTCTTTACTTATAATCAGGAACACGGCCCAGGAGTCTAGTCTATGCAGCTTTCAGTAGACAACTGTATGTGTTGTGACGTTCTTAATTATGTTTAATCTAGAATTGAATGGATCCTTTGGTCCATGAACAAAGACTTCTTGGCAGTCATCATTAGCTGCATGAATGTCCTCATCGACAGGGTTGTCAATCGTGAGTTTTCTTTCTTTACTTCTTCTTAATCATTTTTTCAATGCAGATGCGTACTTCGAGGTTGTGTACCCAAGAAGTTACTTGTTTATGCATCCAAATATTCTCATGAATTTGATGAGAGTCATGGATTTGGATGGACGTATGATGCTGAGCCTAGGCATGATTGGAGCACCTTAATGGCTAACAAAAATGCTGAGTTGCAACGACTCATGGGTATCTATAAGAATATACTAAGAAATGCCGGCGTCACTCTAATTGAAGGCCGTGGAAAGGTGGGTTTATGTACCTCTTTGTAATCGATGTTCTAGTGTCCAATATTGTCCTTTCCAGGGGTTTATGTTTATTCAATGGAATTGGACAGATTGTGGACCCTCACACAATTGACGTGGATGGAAAGCTCTATTCAGCTAGGCATATACTAGTTTCAGTGGGGGGACGCCCTTTTATTCCCGAAATTCCTGGCAAAGAATATGCAATTGACTCAGATGCAGCCCTTGATCTGCCCTCAAAACCCGAGAAAGTCGCAATTATCGGGGGTGGCTACATTGCTCTTGAATTTGCTGGTATCTTCAATGGGTTGTCTAGTGATGTCCACGTATTTATACGGCAAAAGAAGGTTTTGAGAGGGTTTGATGAAGAGGTGATAAGTTGTTGACTCAAATAGTAATACATTACCATTATGCTTATGGATATATGTATGTCATACAAACATATGTTCTTCATTGCTGCAGGTCAGGGATTTTGTGGCTGAGCAGATGTCCCTACGAGGAATTGAGTTCCACACTGAGGAGTCACCTCAAGCCATCCAAAAGTTGCCTGATGGTTCACTGTCCCTTAAGACCAATAAAGGAACAATAGAAGGTTTTTCACATATTATGTTTGCTACAGGACGACGGCCTAATACAAAGGTCTGCAATTCCTTGATTCCATTAAATGGACTGTTTGTTCAAACATGATAGAAACATTCGATGAAATAACAGTATTTGAATGAATACCATGAAGTGCAGAATTTAGGATTAGAGACGGTTGGAGTAAAGATGACCAAGAACGGAGCTATAGAGGTAGTTTTCTCAGTGCTTTTGCCTTCTCCTTCTGTTAGTTATTACATATAATTTCTTCCATTTTTCTAGGTCGATGAATTTTCCCGAACATCAGTTCCGTCCATCTGGGCGGTAGGGGATGTTACTGACAGAATTAACTTGACCCCAGTCGCTTTGATGGAGGGAGGGGCATTGGCAAAGACTATATTTTTTAATGAGCCAACAAAGCCTGATTACAGGTACTGATATAGTCATATTTTGGGAATCAATGGATCCTCATCAATTTTTTACCTCTGGATAACCCACGCTTTCAATTAGAAAACCTGCCCGAACTGTTGGAGTTCCAGAGCACAGGGGAATGGGTCGATGTAGAATCATGCATGTGCTATTCAATATCCAATATCTCCAATTTCTATAAGATTTTGTTCGGAGAGAGATAAAGTAAAGACGGGAGTGGAACGAAGCCCCTTTTTTCTGGATCCATCTCACTCAATAATCTCTCCTGACTGGAGTCCTTCTCTTCCGAGGAACCCTACCTTCTCTGATCCATTTGATACGTGCAATTAATTGAGATATCTGTCCTTTTTGTGTATAATTAATCAGGCTTAGTTTTGGTAGTATACATATGCAAATGATTGTAATGACAGTGGTGTTGCAGCCATTAAATCAGTTGGGCAAGAGGAAGTTCTGCAATTCAACACAAGAATCAACGCGTAATTTCACTTGTACATTGATTCAAGTTAGAAAATGTTTGAGACGCTATTGAACCAACTCAATAGATTTTAAAATAGTTGTTTGGAACTACTGTGAACCTAGCCCTGCCTCTTCAAAGACCTCGAAGTTGCTACATCTGTATTGCTTTGGTCTTCTGCAGTGGCAATTGACTATCCCTAGTTTATATTAATCTCTGAAGAACTAGTTCTTCTTTATGCAATTTGATTATGCGAGAAATTGATTAACTATCCTCAGTTTATATTTCCCTCATTGTAGGCATTTGATACTCTAATTTACTAAGCAATTTGGTGGAGAGTACAACAAATATTGGCATGACCTTGTGTATGTTTTGTTCCCTGTGTTTGACTGATCTATTCTCTTGGTATGTTTCAGCAAAGAGGCGATGTTACTTAATTAATTGGTTTTATGGGCTTGGGAATCTGTGAAATTTAAGAATGTGAATAATTAACTGATTTTAGGCATTTTGTCTTGGCATCAACTGCTGCTGCTGGAGATCTACGGATCATATTGACTTTTTTGGCAGGATGTTGCATTTTAATCGGTGTATAAGCTGGGGTTACTCCTTTCAAGATATATTAATTAGGTCATCTGATGTTTTTAAATGCACTTTTACTTTTTTATTCTTTATAGAGCTGTTCCATCTGCTGTGTTCTCCCAGCCACCTATTGGACAAGTTGGTCTCACTGAAGAACAGGTGATAGAATATTTTCACACATTTATAGTGCAACGCATTAATTATAATTAATTAATAGTTGAAGAATGTTGCAGGCTATTCAAGAGTACGGCGACGTTGATATATTCACAGCAAATTTCAGGCCTTTGAAGGCAACTCTCTCTGGGCTCCCTGACCGTGTTTTTATGAAGTTCATTGTCTGTGCAAAAACAAACAGAGTCCTTGGGTTGCATATGTGCGGGGAAGATTCTCCGGAAACTGTACAGGTAAGATGTCTTTGACCAACGAACTTCGCTTCACTAAGTATTGGAACTTGCAGTTTTTTAATCATTTTGAAGTTTTAATTCCAGGGTTTTGCTGTCGCTGTGAAAGCTGGTTTGACCAAAGCAGACTTCGATGCCACAGTGGGCATTCACCCAACTTCTGCTGAGGAATTTGTTACGATGAGGACGCCCACTCGGAAGATACGGAGGGGTCCTTCATCAGAGGTACAACACGAGCCTGAGCCTCGCGGTTCTTGATTCAACTATATCATTCATCTAATCACAATGACAGAATATTTGGGAACTGGTATAAGTTCAAATTAAGAAAATGCTGGCTGTATTCAATGGCCTATTCTAATATCGTAATATCATTTCCCATGTGTGCTGCTGTGGCTGCTCAGGAAATCACTGTCAAGTCCACGAGAGTTTAATACCTGCGTATATCAAAAAATACGGAAATTAAAACAGCAGCTTGTTGATTTTACAATTACTCTCGAGATAAAATTGATTCAAGGATTCTGGTGTAGTAATGAGACTTGTGACTTGTCTAGCTGATCCACATGGTGACTTATTTGTCCAAATTACCAACCTACGTATATCCGCAGCCTTACATGATGGACATCAAGCTGGGTTCTGAAGTCCTTTTTACTTGAGTTTTTGAATGTTGTTTTGATTTCTCCAGTATTACATAATGACATCTTTACCTGATTGCCCACTTGGCAGGGAAAGAAGGACTCTGATGCTAAAGCTGCAGCTGGGGTTTAGAATGTATAGGACTACTGGCATAGCTAACAACAGAGTGGTCTCCCTTTAATGGTATGAGCAATCTCTTTAAACTGAAGTACTTGTCAAAAACTTTTAGTATGGTCATGCTAACTGTCATCCTACTATGAGGGTTGGAAGTGTGCAGAAGGGGAGTAACATATGTTTATTGATTAACTTTAGCTTTTGTCATTAAGGCAGCTTTTATTGAGCAAGCATTGGTTCAGAGTGCTTTCCTGCAATAATTTAAGTTTACCTTTAGCATGACGAGGCTGATTTTGACGGTATACAAAGTGTCTAAAAGGTTTAATATCTCAAGCATGATGAGGGCTTATTGAAACTGTGAAGTATCTTGATACGCAGTCTGCATATCATTTCCTGGAAAGGCAGCGTAGGATAACTCGGGACGTATTGATTTTTCGCTTACGTCAGCTGTTTGACGATGTGATAGGTTGCATTCTTGACTATGGACTGGTAATACGCCACTTTGCATGGGAGCATCGTATTTGAAGGGATATGTGGGAGGACAAGTTGACAGCCAGGTTCTAAGGACCAGCGCAAATCTTGTGGCATAAAATGTTGTTACTGTGCAGTGATCGATGTGATGCTGGTGAATGTGAAATAAACAGGAGGGCCAAAGAGCTATCGTATGGATCTTCTATACGGTCGTTCTCTTTGTTTTTATTTTATTCTCGCCTCGCTTGTTTATCACTCTTTAGTCATGTATGAAATAGCAAAGGAAGAGGTAATTGTTAGTGGTAACATTCTATTAGATTGATTGATTGTTACAGGCTTTCTTTTTTCTCTTTCTTTTCATGGGGGAGTTCCTATAAGTGACCAAACGGTAGATTCTGGCGTTTAGCTCTATTGATTTCCCTTTTCCTAACATTATGAAATCTATTGCTTTGATGAAAGTATGTCTGGATAGCTGATAGACAGATGAATTACTACCAAAAAAAGGAAATCATTAAATTTGTGAAAAGAGTCGGGAGTAATCCCGAAATAAAACTTATGGCGTATTTATTTTACGGAAAATAGATAATTTGGAAAATATTTTTCAAAAAATAATCGCTTACAAAAAAATAAATGATTTGCGAAAATGTTTACAAATAAATTGTTGTCGATAATGAAAATGCTTTTATTGACTAATTATTTTAAGCAATATGAGCGATCATTTTTTGAAAAATATTTTTAAAATTGTTCATTTTTCGCGAAATTAACGGATCATTAGGATGTGTTCATTTCAAATAAAGATATATAAGAAAAATGCTTTAAAACAATTTACCAATCTTTAAAACAATAATTGAAAATTTTATTATTATTTTCTTTTGCTTTTGTCCCAGTACTTTGACTCAATATTTAATGTCATTTCTGAATTTTTAAATTGTTCAATGTGATCCCTAAATTTCAGTCAAGTGTGCAATGTAGTCTTTGAACTTTTAATTTGTTTAATGTGATTTCTAGATTTTTTGTACATGTTCAAGTTAGTTCATAAACTATATGAAAATATTCAATGTCATTCTATTAATTCGAGTTCATGGATAACATTGAACATTTTCATATAGTTCAGAGACTAAATTAAACATGTATTGAAAGTTTATAGGCTACATTGAACAAATTAAAAGTTCAAGGACCACATTGCACATTGGATTAAAGTTGATAGATCACATTGAACAAATTAAAAGTTTAGGAACCACATTGCACTTTGGGCCTAAGTTCAGGGAAAATTTCATTTTGGTACCCAAAGTGGGGGCATTTTCTCAATTTGGTACCCAAAGTGGACTATAGCCGACGGACGGAAGAAGGAAAAAAAAAAAGAAAAGGAAAAGAAAAAGAAAAAAAACAGAAAAAGGAAAAAAGAAAAAAAAATAAAAAAGTAAAATACCTGTTCCTGTAGTAAACAAGAAATTTCTTGCCGACTCATTGGTGAGCATTTGACCCGGCGAACTCAAGCACCAAATTGAGACCGAATGGGCACTTTGGGTACCAATTTGAGACTATGTCCATTTTGGGTACCAAATTGAGAAAATGCCCCCACTTTGGGTATCAAAATGAAATTTTCCCCTAAGTTCATGGACCATTTGTGTCATTTTCCCTTATCCATTTTAACCTTCGAAATTGAAATGAGATTCATATCTGAGTTAAATAATTCATGAATGTGTTGTTACTTCATTGATTTTTATTTTATGTACCCTTTAAATATAACCGATTTGAACTCGCAATTGCTATTAAGGATCATTAATTTTGTTAGCTATTTTGATAGTTAATAAACACCACAAAACATCTTCTCGAGCTGCGTTTTCAGCAGGACCAAATACAAGAAAACAATTTGTTTTCTAGAAAAAACGATTTATCAGGAAAATACTTTTCACCACCAACGAGTTTTCTGTTAAACATACGGACTCCTGGTAGAAACGAGCTAAAGTCGACTGAAAAGACATAAAGACGAAAATGGGTGTGAGCAGAAAGACTCGAAGGAAATTGCTCGTGGCTTCCTGGAGGGAAGATGACAGACCAGAGGAAATTGCTGCGTGGCTTCCTGAAAGAGAAGAAGACACGCCAAAAATGGGTCTATTTTCACCGTAGTCCCAAGCAAACACCACGTCGTTGTAGTACCCAGTTTGATCGGTAACGTGTTCGTTTCAACGTATGCAGACATGGAATGCAGTACATCACAATTTACGCGATTACTTAACCACACTTCGTTATTGGATTACGACGAAAATGAACAGATGTTCGGCTGCTGGTAACCCGAGACACGGTACCCCGAGGCATCGCGGAAGAGGTTGCTGACTGCTGCAGATTTTTTTTGTGTGGTCCACACACGGTGTGGGGCGTGTTCGGGGCCGAGGGAGGGCGGTGACACGCACCTGTCCCACGAGAAAAAACTAATTCACATAAAAATCTTGCAATGTGATTGATTAGTTCACGATAATATGGCGAATATTAATGCCGTGGAGGCACTTGTTAAGTAATCAATAATGAAGACTTTACCGTTTCCAATGCAGTGACGTCTCTCGTATTATTTGTAATATACACTTTTAAAATTAAATTATTCCATAAAGGTTATGCTTAACTAGTGCACAGGACTCACCCATGAACACTGCCATTTATCATTTAGTGAGTTTATCTGATCATATTCTAAAAGTTGCATGTTATGGGCAAGGCGAGTCTGCTTGTAGAAGAAGAACAGACAACTAGCCAACCTTCACACTACTAAATAAGAGGCCACCAAGACATCTCTTTCTCCATCATGGATTACTTCGCTCAATGCAGGTATTAACTTTCCTACTTCTCATCTCTCGGCCAATACTAAATCATGCAAGTTTTCATTCACATTGCATGGAAGATGGACGAGAATTACTCGATGCTCTTGTAGTATTTACTCAGGTCAAAGCAGCCAACAAATGACACGATTTGAACAAAATACCAATAAAAACGGTGCTATTGAGTTGCGAGTTACGTGCAAACTAGTGTTTCTCCATCCCTTTTACATGTCTGAGTTTTGCTTTCTTGCTATGCAGCTTCTGAAGCATATTTAGATTGGACAGGATGAGAATGGCCGCTTCAAAGAGCCTCATCATAATAGCATTATACTCGTGGCTTTGTTCAAGCTCCTACTCATTCGAGGCTAATTCCTCAGAGGGGTTGTTGAGAATTAGTTTGAAGAAGCGGACACTTGATTTTGACAGTGTAAATGCTGCTAGAATTAGCAGAGCAGGAGACCATTATTACCTTAGAGAAAAGGGATATACAAGAAGGAATCAAATGGACCCGAAAGCAGAAATAATATATCTGAAGAATTATCTCGACACCCAATATTATGGAGAGATCGGTATCGGCACGCCACCGCAGAAATTCATGGTCGTCTTTGACACCGGAAGCTCCAATGTTTGGGTGCCATCTTCAAAATGCCTATTTTCTGTAAGTGACCGCAAGTCAATATACATCTACGTTTTTAATGTTTGTCCTATGGGGCTAGTTATGAAGTACGTAAACTATTTACCTCTTTGCAGATTAATTGCTATTGGCATTCCAGATACAGCGCGAGACTGTCGAGTACTTACTCCAAGATTGGTAACAGATTTGTTCATTGCAAGACTTTCATCATATCATCAGAATTTAAAACAATTAATTGTGGTTTGTAAGAATTTGCATCTGCGAATTCACTTCTGGTTGTTGCTGATTCGGTTTCTTTCCGTGTTCTTATTATTCTAGGAATACCATGTAAGATCCACTACAGCTCTGGTTCAATTTCCGGAGTCTTTAGCCAAGATAATGTCAAAGTTGGGGATATTATCGTCGAAGATCAAGTGTGTGCTTTGTGTCTGCTTTCAACTGTTCCATCAAATCTAGATTTGTTCTAGTAACTGCTTCAATATATACTTTCTCATCCTTCAGGAGTTCGTTGAGGCTAAGAAGGAGGGGTTTTTAGGTTTCTTAGCTGCTCAATTCGACGGGATACTTGGGCTCGGATTTCAAGATATTGCTGTTGGTGGAACTACACCATTGTGGTACCTTTATGCGTTTATCAGTGTGTTCTATCAATGAGAAGCTTTTCCTAATGGTGCATTCTACATGTTGGTTATTATACTGCTTGCAGGTATAATATGATGCAACAAGGTCACGTTCCTCAGCAAATATTCTCAGTCTGGTTTAATCGAGACCCTACGTCGACTCTCGGTGGCGAGATTGTCTTTGGCGGTCTAGATTGGAGGCACTTCAGGGGCGAACATTTTTACGTCCCACTTACTGAACCGGGTTATTGGCAGGTCCAGGGGGATGCGATTTTGACGTTTATGTTATTAGTAAATATCGACTCTTTTAATAACTCTCCTTACCGAAAGATTTTGCACCTGACTTTGTCTGCAAAATCTCCAGATTAATGTGGGCGACATTCTTGTAGCCGGCAATTCAACAGGTAATAACTTATCGTGCTTCGAGTTTGCGTTTCCACTGTCAATAGAGACATGCTTGTTTCGTTTATCTCCGAATTGCTGATTTATGATCCAAAAGCATTCGTAACATCCAGTCATGTTGATTTCAGGATTGTGTGACCTCGGTTGTGAAGCCATTTTAGACACGGGAACATCTTTTCTTGCCGGTCCAACTGTAGCATTCCCTTCCGAATTTTTCTTTTTCAAGATCAATATTTCGTGTTCGTTTTTTCCTTCCTACAATTGCTATTCGACGCCATTTTACGAGTTTCCTATCACAGAGGACCATCGCTCAAATTAATCACGCGATCGGAGCGGTAGGAATTGTGAGCTTTGAATGTCAAACTGTCGTCTCCAATTATGGAAATCGAATATGGGAATATCTGCTATCAGGGGTTTGTGCTTCTTCCTATGTCTTGGTGATTAATTCATGTCCTCCTTCATAGATGAACAAAAAACCTCAAATCCTTAACTTGCCGTTCATGCAGCTCAACCCGGAAACAATATGCGTGGACATCGGACTGTGTTTGTACAATGGATCCCGGCATTTTAGGTACAAAATTTGTCTAGATTCCAACCTTTCACAAACTTTCTTCTGGTCTGAGAAACCAGTTTTGACTATTGCAGCACACGAATGGATAAGACGTTCAACAATGGCACTGAAAAGGGTTCTTCGGTCAATGAGACCGCTCTATGTACTTTCTGCGAGATGATTGCCTTTTGGATTCAAATGCAGCTCAAGCAGCAGAAAGCAAAGGATCGAGTTTTCAAATACGTAAACGAGGTGATATTCCGTGAAAGATATCTGTTTCTGTGATGAACAGCAAAGGAGTTAAACAAGCTGAAGCAAGAATTCTTTGTTTTTTTACTTTTATTTTTTCCCATGTTGAAGCTGTGCGAGAAGTTGCCGAACCCAATGGGGAAATCCTTCATCAACTGCGATAACATCGAGAACATGCCACACGTTTCGTTCGTCATCGGCAATAAGTCCTTCCCGCTTTCTCCTCAACAAGTAAGATATCCTCGTACTCGAGCATTCCTCAATCCCTCTCTACGCTCGAATTTCATACTCTTTAACGACCACGAGGATCCGTGGCTACAGAATAAATACTTCTCTCTTATCTCACATGAGCTGTCACACAAATTTTGCTGCTGCACTTGCACCTTCAAAGTTAATTTCGCTCAAATCTTCGAGGTTCTCCGTTAGGAACTCCTGATCGAACAATGGTTTCATTAGGACACTGACCATTTCCTTATCTTTTTGGGAGCAACTACGCAGTATACTCTCAGAGTCGGAGAAAGATGCTCGACGATCTGTGTAAGCGGATTCGTTCCTCTGGACGTCCCGAAAGGTCCTCTCTGGTAGGCCATTCTGTCAATAAAGCACGGCTCTATGAGTTTGATTTTTTAGCTTTGGCCTTCCTAAAAACCGTTCTCCTGCATGAACAACCTCACATGTTGGGCATCAGATGTTTCCAAAAGATTTAGTAGTCTCGGACATGTCTCTGTGCAATATGGTATGAAAGTAAAATGACTGCATAATCTCAGGATTCTCGGGAACATGTTCATGGGAGCATACCACACGGTTTTCGACTTCGGCAATCTCAAGATCGGATTCGCAAAAGGGGCCTAGAAATCTCCGACGAATGGCGAGCCTGTAATTCGCCAATGTTGAATAATGTTGTGGCGTGTGATATTTTCTAAATCAGCATGCATGAAAGTGAAAGTGAGAGCTACTCTTGTCCTTGTACAAAAGCTAGTATTTCATGAACTGTCTTGTACAAATTGTCAAGCGCCAGCGCGCAGATTGTGGTGTTTTGTCTCAGCACGGCAGTTTGTATCATTACCAGATGTCATATTTCAATGATAAAGTTTCTGAATTTCCTCTGAAATTTAGAAAAAAAAAATGATAAAATACAAAATTAATTGTGTTGCACCAGCCGGGAATCGAACCCGGGTCTGTACCGTGGCAGGGTACTATTCTACCACTAGACCACTGGTGCTGTTATAAATTCGTAGGATGTGAAGAAACTATATATATATTTTGTAAAAGGAATCTTAGCTTACAAAGATATCGAGACTAACGTGAGGAATCGTGTCTTTGATCTTTGCTGGAGGATTAGGCCACTCGCAGCTCTCTGCTTAATTGATACGCACAAAACGTAAGGACATTACGGCCTAATTTCATCGACCGATTACCAAAATCCTTCTTTCCGACGATGAACTGATGGTCAAATCATCAAATGTTTATCGAATTCCCCATTTCTTGCGTTTTGGGAAACTTCTGATGCTGGAGAGATTGTGTTTACCAAATCCATATCTCCGTACACGAGTCCGAAATCGTTTTTTTGGAGGTGATTTTGATTTACACACACTATCGCAAGATATTGGACAGATTAGATGAATACACGAAGAGCTGGTTGCACACTCCAATGTCAAGGGGCGATAATCTGGCTTCTCCCGTGTCTAAGTGGATAGAGATAGCTTCGAGACGTCGTCTCCGAGATCTAATGCCCGGCCGAACGATTCAGCCTATCCCGATAGAAGGAACATGCACCTGTGCCCGGACTTGATCTCCGGCGCCGTCTTGGCCCTGCAGGTGATAATCCGGCTTCACAACGTTGTTTATCATCATATGCAAGTCGCCATTTATTATTAGTAGCACCATTGGATACCATCAGGAAGGTGGGATCTAAGTTCTCTACTTCTGGCAAGTAATATCAGTTCGACGTCGCCATCGCTTCATTTGACTTGTTTTCAATATTCCTCCTTTAATGTCATCTCTATTTTCCAGAAATCTCCGTTTTTGGTCAGCTGCCTACATTGACTGTTCTCCATAAATTTTTTTCCCTTTTTCTCATAAGATTCTTGGATCCTCTTGTTAACAAGGTTACGTCTTCATCTCAGTCTTCATCCTCGTTTGAGGTATCAGCTTTAAGAGGCAATTAACTTCTGCTTTATATGCTGTGCTTATCATTTTCCAGCTCAACTTCATTTGCCAATGGAGTGTCAACCAGCTCATCCCATTGATACTCACAGTGACTGCCTTGTTGACTTCCATTATCGCCGTCGAACTGAAATTATTTGCCAGAAGTAGAGAACCTAGACCCACCTTCCTGATGATATACAATGGTGCTAATAATAATATATGGTGAATTGCATATGATGATTAACAACGTTGTAAATGTTTGTTTTATGTGTTTGAGTCATTCGGACGTTTGAGATTCCATTCAGGGAAAATTTCAAATCAGTACTCAAAGTGGGGTCATTTTCTCAACAAAAGGTCCAAAATGGACATAATATCAAATAAGAGCCTGAAGTGTCCAATCAGTCTCAAATAGAAGCCCGAACTGCCCAATCAGTCTCAAGTAAGAGCCTGGGTTCGCCGGCCGGTCAAATGCTCACCGGCCGGCAAGCAAGTCACTATTCCGGTGATCGGAACAAGGGCAATTTCGTCTTTTACTTTTTAAATTTTTTTTTGTTTCTTTTTTCCTTTTTCTATTTTTTTCTTTTCCTTTTCCTTTTCTTTTCTTTTTTTTTCCTCTTTTCCCTCCGCCGGCCCCGAAACCCAAGCCCTTACTTGAGACTAATTGGGCACTTCGGGCCCCTATTTGAGACTGATTGGGCACTTCAAACCCTTATTTGACATTATGTTCACTTTATATCCTTTTTTGAGAAAATGACCCCACTTTTGGTATTGATTTGAAATTTTCCCTTTCATTTATGCAATGAAATCGAGCTTGATTTCATTAGCCTATAAAGCCACTTCATCTTCCCTCTCAGTCCCAGTCTCTATGTACTATCTTTTGTCCAACTTCCATAAGCAAGCGCCCAATTTTTTTTTTTTGCTTTTTATGAACTTTTTATTGTCGTTTCTGTTCGAAACAAAGATCAGCTCACTATATAATCCCAAAGAAGAAGAAGAAGAAGAAGAAGAAGAAGAAGAAGATATCTTCAAACAGTGAGTTTTGTCTTCTTTTTAAGACTGCTCCTTCTGATCGACCATGTTCTGCATTAGTTTTAGTCCCATGTTCTTGCTTTTATATTTGCTTAATTCTTCCCTGCAATTCTTTCTTTCTTCGTGAATGTATCTGGAAATCAGAGAATTGAATGGTCACTGAGAAATTTGGAAGCTTTTTGAGTTCCCAACCTGCACGGTATAATTCACTTGTGATCACTTTTAAAGAAATGCATGGTATGTAATGTACCCACATTTTAATTTGAACTTCTGAATGTGTTTTTCTAAAGTTTTACTGTAGTTTTCACTCAAAGAATTTGGTGAAAATCACTAAAGATGGTTATACTCATGAATCATTCAATATCTGCCATCTGATGGGTTTTCTGTTTGTGCGTAGGCCATTCCAAATTGCATTGAGGACCGTATTTAGTTGCGACAATGAGCAACTCCTTTCTTCCATCTTTAAAATCTGAGCTTTTCGACATTAGTAAACAAGAATTCTTAGATTCATATTACTGTAGTTGATCTATATGCATCACAAAGTTTGCTCCCTTATTTGATTGCAACCAATGAAGGATCAGGACTTTGTGGCCAGTTTCAGTTGAAGTTTTCGTTTTGATTAGTTTTTACCTGATATAAATTGTTTGCAATGCTTGTTTGTTGATCTTCAGGAAATGAGTTTCGGATGCCGAATGTGGAACTGTCTACCCTGGTGGACAGCAAAATGTATGTATTTTTTTTGTCGTTTACCTGAAACAAAGAAGAAGAGGAGAACTGACTATATACTTAAATTTTTTACCTTATGGTATACTTTTGATGACAGGAACATGCACAGCAATGGTGGATTCTATTTGCAGTCCAAAGCATTCAATGATGACTACTGGTTAGGAGGTGAAGATAAAGTGGCTATTCCTGCTCAGCCCCTTAATGATCTTCAAGCAGGTTTGAATTTTTTTTTTGGTGATAAAACTTTTTAATATATGCTGTGAAATTAAGGACAAGTCAAGAGATATTATATCGAGCTACACGAGCCACAAAATTTATCTTTTCTTTCTATGACTCCATTGTGCATCTAAGAAGGGATTAATGAATTTACCTTTTGAATTTGACAGGTTATGAGTACGTCACACCAAGCTATGATACAACAATCCAGCAGCCAAGAAAGAAGCTTTTGGTTCCACAAACTCCAAGTGTATGCTATTTATCTCTTTGGTTATTTTGATTTAAGTGTGGCCAATTATAGCTCAGGAATTTGAATGGTTAATGTAGTATAAGTTGATTTTGGCATCGATTGTATGTTTGAGACAGAGTGGTTCAGCGTTTTGACTTGTGATCTGTCTCCAGGATTTGCAAGCCAATCACAATGCAAGGAAGCACCAATTAGAGGGAAAAGGGTTCGTACCCGAAGAGGGCTTTAGCGCATCGCTGCTCAAAAGCATGCCTTTGAACGAGTGGAATAAGAACAAGAGGAAAAGAACCTTGTCTCATGAAGAACATCATAAAGTCAAAAATGGCTCGGTTGTGGGTCCACGATGCAGGGTATTTTCTTTCCTTTTAGAAAAAGCTCATCAAACATAAGAAAATAGTATGGCTATACCAACCAATTAGTATATTTCACCAAAGAAATACCAATTGTCAAGTCAACTAGTTGTTTCTCGGGCATCAAGTGATTTATCAGTTAAATTTGCAGATGCAAGTTCCTGTAAAGAGAAGTCAAAAGATAGGTGACAAAATTACAGCTCTACAAAAGCTGGTGTCTCCATGTGGTAAGGTCAGTTTGCATCCCATTGAGATAATTAGCAACTCCTAAAAGATGCGCAATCTTTGATTATTAGCTCCTAAATGTTAATTGCTTTCCTTCATGTTAACAAAAACATTTCAGACTGACGCTGCGTCAGTACTCCAAGAAGCTTCCCTATATATCAAGCTCCTTCAAGAACAAATTCAGGTAATGGATGATCTTCATCTACTTTGTCCGAGCGATAAATGATCCAAAGACTCAACAATCAGAGAATGGAAAAGAGACCGACCTTTTCATCTTGTTTCGATCCCTATTTATCTAGTCCTGTTTCAGATTATGCATGTCGATGAACTTCAAGTGAAAGCTGAATTTACCCGAAAAAGTCACTGATGATACTACCTCATTTCATTTGTGTTGCCTACAGAATCTTTTCCAAATGCTAAGCAGCTCATATAGTAGCATCAGAGCACTCGAACCACAGGTATCATTCACTAATTTTTCTCTAATATATTATAGAGCTTTAATCTCATTTGCTAGTTTCACAAATGTTATGTATGTACGACATTTTTTCCTGTTTCCGCAAGGAAAGTTATTTGAAAAAATTTTGGAGCACTCGAGAGATTTTCTTCTCAAATTCTCTTTAATCTGATTGGGTCGTGCTTTTCTCACAGCCGTGCATTGGTTTAGAATTGAACGGTGAAAGGAAACTTGATTTGCGAAGCAGAGGACTCTGCTTGGTTCTGATATCATCGATCCAGAAAATGTCGAGAGAGATCCTAGCTGAAGCTCAAAGTCATACAATTTATTAAGGAAGTTGGTGAAATTGTTGTTACTGGACTCGTCATACAATTTTTTAAGAGCTGAATAAGTATCACCCGCAGGAGATACAGTTGAGAGAGAAAAATAGAACAGGCTTTTGATTGGTCAAAGAACCTTGATTTACTCTTGAGAGGATGAGAACTAGTTGAAGGGGGTCTCTGGTTGCCTTCTTAAGTCATTGAGGCTTAGAGATATTTATGAGGGTAGATTGATGCATCTTTATTTGGTGATTGATTAAGCTTTTCTTGTTTGCTCTATCTCTCAATCTCACAGCGCGTGCGCACACGCATATCAAAAGAAAAACCATGAAACAATGAATGAATAACATCTGAATCTCAGATCAACACCCAAATACATCTTATGTCGAAATAGGG